ACACGTGAATCTAATTCATGTCTTTTTTCTGCAAGGCAAAGAGTCTAACCAATTATACCAGACACAAGTACTGTTGTCACAAGGTTTTAAAAAAAAACAAGACAAGAAAAGTCAAGTAAAAAATATAAATCCAGATGAGGCCTTTACAATTACATTTGAAATAACCAAGGAAAGTAATGACAATAAATTTTCTCCTAGTGTAAACAGGGTTCTGAAAATGTGTGACCTTGGGGCCTCCCAAGCACTATGTATTCATGCAATGACAACTGTATACAAACAATAAGAAAAGTGCATTAAAGCTAAAATACTTTTTTCCATATATATCATACCATTGTATGGTCACAAACGCTTTTTCTACTGATGTACACATAAATACTTTCAAGAAATTTGTCACACACATTGCCTGCCAACCATCCAACGTTTCAACTTTCACAACCACTGGTGCACATTTTATTCATCTTCCTTTTAATCTTTTTTGAGAATACGTAATTTATACTGTTATCATAGACTTACTATTTGTATTTATAGAATCTAGACCCAGTTTTCCTGTGCTGTGAGAGCAACAAAAAAACTGAAGAACCTTACGCGTCTCTTCTGTCCTAGGCCTAGAATCTAGACAGGGGGCTCTCGTGGCCTAGAGGTTAAGGTGTTGGCCTCTCATGCAAAGATTCCGGGTTCGAATCCAGGTAGCGACCAAAAAATTTTCTTCTCTAAAATTTCTCCTTTCACCTCCTTTCCTGCCCTCTAGTCTAGCAATGTTCTGTCGTCTGCTTTCGTCTCCTCTTTCTGCCCCCTCCCCCTCACCTCCTTTTGCCCCCTCTTCTGGACTCCTGACTCTTTATGGAGCCTTTCTACTGCTACTCCTTGGCTCATTCTTACTGCTGTCTTTCAGCCGAATCCCTGATCTTCTGGTAGGAAAGATCTACACCTAGCCTTCTCGGACAAGGGCGAAGAATCTAGGAGGTCCTGTGTGCAAGTTGCACACGTTAAAGATCCTTTGGTGGTCTAAAATCGATAAGAGTAAGCTTCAGCTGCCACCCGGGCAAAATTCAAAATTTCCTACCAACTGAAAAAGTTTAATGTGTCCCGCGCGCTCATTTGACCTTATGCAGTTGCGAGCGCCGTAACACACGTATGGAATTTTTAACCAAAAAATCTAGACTAGTTCTCTCTCGCCTTACACACGCCTTATTTGTTTTGTGAAGAAGACTTCGACTAGATCTAGATTTCTACTACTACATAATAGGGTAAGTTTAATTAATAGTAAGCAATCTAATTTTGTTGTTTTCTTGTTTGTTTGACGTGTTTGAATTCATTGATTGATACAAGCGATTTTGATTTCTAATCTAGTTCTAGATCTCTTCTTTGTTTACAGTCACACAGATTCACGAGTGAAGATTAACATAACAATGATCTAGATCTGGCAAAATTGAGGGCAAGCGAGGCAGGGGTAGGCCGAGAACAACATACTTAAGGAACCTAAACAAATGGGTAACAGGGAAAGATCAGGGAAACATAGTTTTTCTGAGAGCATCCGAGCAAAGGAATGAATGGAAAATCATGATCGCCGATGTCTGTCGCAGATCTGGCACTGGATGATGATGATATAGATCTATGTTACTTCTATCGTGGACTTGGACTCTCTTTCTTGCTAGGAGAAGTTAAAATTTAGATGTAGAATAGCTGGTAAAGTGTAGAATCGTGGCTTGCTTCTATTCGATCCAAGCATTTTGCTGCCTTTTGAACATAAATAGATCTATTGGAAGCAGTGTTGATTAAAATAGAAGCAAGGGGGCGCGCAGTGCCTTCCATAATCAGTCTTAGAAATCTAGCAAACTACAATATTCTAGATGGAAGAGGCTAGCTGTACTAAATGACGTCTAGACCACCAGGCTAGCCGTACTTATGCATGCAATAAGATTGTGAATTTTATAACTAGATCTATAATTTTTTTACTGAATAGCTTGTAGATGTAGAATTATTTTGATATCTATAACTTTAAACGGAAGTCATTAGACGCAGGAGTAGAAAAAGGGAGATGAAATGAAGGGCAAATTTTAATAGTCACTTGTAAATTTATGTAAGGAATCATAATATTTCTTTGAAATTTATACTTTGACATTATGCATTCAAAGATTCTTCAGTATTGTGAAGGTGTGCTCTGCTTGGGGGTCCTCAAACAGGTACCAGAAAAGAAGCTTGGAATCAGCAAACAGAAAAAATTACGTGACATTTCATGCTTTTCCCAAATATGAAGTCATATCAAAGCGGTGGACAGCTGCTTTAAGAAGGGAGAACTTTACCCCATTACGCACAACATACATTTGCAGCTCCCACTTCTTGCCCAGTGACTACAACAACAATGGATTTCGGCGTAAATCAAAATGACATAATGTACCATCTGTTTTTGCCTTTCCTCCTCATCTACAGAAAGTAGCAACCCAACATCGACTAATTAAACGACAAATGCTGAAAATCACTCCAAAACCAATGCCTGTAAATCCCTTAATAAATGATCAATCCTATTCCATCAGCCCTTCGAAAGAAGAACAACGAGTGAGCATGAAGAAAAAAATGTGAGTCAAGATTTTACCGTCTGAGAAAACAACCAGAAAATCTATCGCCTTCAATCAAAATAGCAGAAATTAACAAATCTTTTGAAGGCGGCGAAAGACAGAAATTTGATAGAAGAGAGTGCGTTTGAGTTAATTGAAAATACATTTGGTGGCATGTCTTTGGTGCTGTTTCAACATCTTCTGCAACAAAAAGACGTCAACAAACATTGTCGAACGTACAGCCAGGATAAGAAAGTTTGGAGCCACCCTCAATTTTCTGTCTCCAGCTGCTTATGAGTATGTTCACCAGACTCTAGGCCGGCCACACTGTGAAACATTGCTAAGATGGCAGGGTTCTGTTGATTGCAATCCACGTTTTTTAAGTCAAGTGCTTCACAGTGCTAGCAAGCAAGCAGAACAAAGAGGGGAGCGAATGTATTCCTTGGTGGTGGATGAGATGAGTCTAAGGACTGAAGTCATGTGGGACCGGTCTCTCCATCAATATACTGGCCATGTGGATTTCGGGGGTGGACCTATTGATAATACGGTTGCCTCTCATGCTCTCGTCTTCATGACCGTTTCATTAAATAGTCGATGGAAGACACCAATCGCATACTTTTTTACAGACCACATCAACAGCTCCCAGCTGTCCCTTTCCATCAAAGAAACCCAGATGAAAACAGCTGAGAAGAGCCTGATAGTCACAGCCATTGTGGCCGACAGGTTAAAAGCCAACATGAAAGCTGCAAGCTGTCTTGGTTTCAACCTTTCAGCAACCAAACCAACATGCCATACCAACCATTCCCATGAAGACTTCAATGAAGAAAAAATATGGTTCATATGTGATCCTCCCCATATGTCAAAGTTAACAAGGAATCTTCTGGTTGAAAGGGGGACAATCTATGTGTGGCAACACGATGGAATCTGCCCGCCAATTTCTTGGAAATACATACATCATCTCCATGCACGATCTACAGTCAAAAGACAGCCTATATCTGGCAAACAAGCTCGGATCTAAGCATGTGAACTACAACAATTTGAAGATAAGGGTAAATGTAGCAACCCAGAAGCTATCCTCGTCAGTAGCCACCGCCATCGGGATGATCTTCACCTTCCTGCATTTCAAGGCTCTGCACCAACGTGTGAGCTCATCCGGAACATTGATAGGCTCTTTGACCACCTCAATACAAAAAATCCATTTGCAAACGGACAGAAAGCACCATTGTCACTAGTAAACCAAGATCAATGGCACGGATTTTTTGCCAATGTGAAGAAGTACATTCTGACCTTGCTGGACTATAATGGGACACCACTGTATTCATCTCAGCGAGGCCAAGCCATCCTTGGCTTCATCATCAGCACCACTTCAACTATGGAACTGCTTGGCAGTGGAAAGCTTAATTAAGTACTTGCTGCCGCACAAACACTCCCAAGATCGCCTTGAAATGTTCTTCAATAAAATTTGTCGTCAAGGTGGCTGGAATAATAATCCTATCTATGGAAGAAAGATTCCGCTACTCGATGCAAATCCTCCTTCACCAAAATGAGGTGAAGGCACCATCATCAAGCAACACAATCCAGTTGCATGATACTCAAGAGCTCACAGTGGAAGCCCAACAGTGCCTCATCAACTCTTCTCAAGGAGCAGACACTAAGTTCATCATACAGGCAGAAAATCTGAATGCAGCGATGTTCACAGATAGCCAGTGGCAGATGTCATGTCTTGTGTATACAGCTAGTTTTATTTTATCTGTAGGAGACTTATGAGGCGACTCAAGTGTGTCAGTTGCCAAGCTGCACTCAAGGATGACATGGAGTTTGGACCCCCGACTTCGGTTTCTGCAAAGAAAAAATGGCAAACTGGTGACACCATCAAATAGAGTCGTGGAGGTATTGAAGTGCACAGAACATGCCTTTCGCACAGTCATGCCTGAACCATGCACTATGGAGAAGCTTCCTCACCAGAAGAAAGTGGACATTCATATCCAGCTACTTGTTGTAAATGCCCTTCAAGATAAAATAAACACTCTCTTTTCTTCAGATCATTTTGCCACTCATGAATTTGGAGTTGAAGACCACACTCTATGCAGCTGGTGAAAATAACTGCAAAGTCATACATCAACATGTGTTTGTGGAAAGCAGGAAGACAACACCATCAGCGAGTGATCTTGAAAGGAAGAGGCAGCAAGGGGATGAAACTGAATAAATACATCCTCTTCAGCGGCCTGTAATGAGTCTCTTGCAAGTGTCAGGTCAGGGAGGGCGGTCCTGCTACTGGGACAAGTCATCCTGGGTAATCCGGTACAACCTGTTGATTAGTGGATTATCAATGGATATAGCAGTACCTTAACCCTTAAAACCCTGAATTCTTTTTTTTCATACCTCCCTAGAATCCTGAATTAAAATTGAGATACTAGAAAAAATTAGGTTGGTTCATTATTTTGTTTACTGTGTTTTTAATTGTTGTTAGATTTTACTGAAGTTTGAAAATGTTATTTATATATGAATGCACAGTCTGAACAAAAGGGGAAAAGGTTAAAACACTGGTTTTTAGGACCAACTCTATGAGTTAAGTCTTGTGTGTGATCCCCGACACAATTTCAGTCAAAGTATCATTAGACCCAGCCGTAGATCTAGCCTCTGGTAGCTTTAGTGGTGATCTCCTGCCAATTCCACTATCGTCAAAATCATCATCGATGTTATGCGGAACATTGCAATCGTCTTCAACGGTCATATTTATCAATATATCCGACTGGGAGATCATTATTGGGGTCTGGTTTGGATCAAAAATGTCAAAAATTTTGCGGCCTGGAGGGCTAAGCAGCGAAAAGTGACTAATTTTTCTTAAAAACTCGCAAAATTTCCAAACTTTCGGTGTAGAACTGCTCTCATGACATTATCGGTACTTTCTGCTCGCGACAGAGTCATCTGGAGTTACATCCCCTGTTTCTAGCACTGGGAATTAAACGATAAAGTCGACCAGCGGTTACCAGCGGTATAGGAAAATAGGGCGTCAGCGGTTATCAGCGGTTACCAGCGGTATAGGGTTTTAAGGGTTAATGGTGAGTACAAAAAGGCTGTCTCTTTATTGCTGAATTTCCCTCTGACTGCCTTCCTTTTCTCCCCCCCACCCCCTTTGTCCTGCCCCTTTTTCAATCTCAGATTTTACCCCAGTTCGTACAGGTGGCATCTGTATTCTCTCTCTCTCTTTCTATTTCTCCTTATTACATTCTATAACCTTGACCAATCGAGAGAAAGAGAGAGAGAGAGTGAGAGAGAGAGATTCATATTCAAAGTGTTTATGCTCTACACCCGCTAGCGCAACCTGCTGGACCAATGGCTGCAATGTCCGTTAGGCGCCCACTGCATTCTTGTTTAGAACTGGGTCTAGATTCTATAATAGTAAGTCAGTAGCTGTTATAAACACTATCGCATACATATGTCAAGCAATAGCATTTAAATTAAAACTCTACTGATAGCAACGGATGTAAGCTATTTTACAATAGGAAACATGATGACCCACATCAAAAGTACAACCCAGTGTATTTTGCCTCTTCATTAAATCTGTTATAATACTTGTTGATACATAAAATGCATTGACATGTCTCTGATGTATTTCTGGTTGAAATGAAATTGTCCTAGTATCGAAAAAAATGACAGAAGCAAAATAAAACGACTTGCAAATGTCACGATGATTTAAATTCTTTGTGAAATGCCTCTGCAAGAACTTTTAGAGATTTGAACTCCTCTTGTATCTTGTCAGTTATGTGCTTCCTGATTTCTTTCTGGAAAAAAAAAAAGAAACAAAAAACTGATCAGTAGAGAAGTAATAGATGGTGGACAGTGTGGGAAAGAGAGAAGAGAAACAAAATATATCATTAAGAATGCAGGAAGAGAGAAAATACGAGCAATATGAGCAATCCTCCAACATAATTTCCATATTGTACATGAGAATATGGAGTGAGCAAGGCAAGCAAGGCAATTGAAGGGTATCCTTCACATACACTGGTCTCAACCAATTCAATCCCATAAGTTCTGGAGCATTGTCAAACTTAATCTATATTATAATTATAATTGTATCAATAATTCCCAAATACACAAAAATTTAACTTAAGGGTTATTCCATTCGTCATAGTGTAACTTTTCAACGATGACAGTTCAAAGTCAAAGCCATTTGTTCTGAACTTAAACCTGTAATTTAGAGAATTATTATCACTCCTTCCTTTAAAGTAACTCAGACACCTTTTCACCTATTTCAAAAAAATTGAACGAATAAAATTCAACCAAAGGGACATCAGATTTGTTAATAAAGAGAAAAGCAGTCTGTGTGTGCGAGGAATATTAATTTTTGAGGGAGTAATCGTGGTGATCCGCCCATTCTGATTTCAGGACATGGGCTGCAATGCCCCGACCATCACATTAAGTATCTCACCATGCTGAGACTGAGAATGTTGCGGGGGGCGAGGAGAGAAAAGGGTAAATGCTGTTGAGGAGGCCTGGTTCTAGCAGTGTGGGGCCACACCCCACACATTAAGAGTGGCCCTTGCACAGTTACAAGAAAGGTTTGGAGAATGCCTTATAAGCTGAAAGCTCACAAATAAATGACCATTGCATTCCCCCAACTTGCACCCCTTTGATTATTTCCTTTGGGGTTTTTTTGAGAGATCTATGGAAACAACGTACTTACTAAAACTCAAACAGTTAGAAACTCAATCCTGAACAGGAGGTCCAAATAATTAACCCAGAAATACGCTACAGGGTTATTTCAGATAAGCATATTCAACTTGTCTGAAGAGAAATGGTCAACACTTGGAGCATACAATTTAAACGATCACCAGCTTCCCTGAGTTTATTTGGCAATGTCAATTCAAACACGCAAATTGATTTTGTTCGTACTGTAAACAAATTTGACACCCCCTTCATTGACTTTTATTTGCTCAAAGTTTTGTTGAAACTGGTCCAAAGATGACTTAGTTATAGTCTGGTATTAATAGTGCATTCCTTTTCTCTTGAACTCGTTTTGCTTTTACTGTCGAAACAAACAGAATCAGTAACACATTGATAAAGATGGTAAATGGCTTGAAATAGTCTACTGGGTATTGGCTACTTTCTGATAGCTAAAATTCAGTTCCATTTATAGAAAATTGTGTTAAATCTTTGAAACTGAACAGTGAATCTTTTAGTTTTAGTGAGAGTTTTACGGTACTTGCACCACAGTAAGGTCATATAAGTGCCGAAGATTAGAAGTGTTACAAGAAGAGTAACAAACACAAAAAAGGAGGAGAGATAAGGATGACAGATGTTTGATAGGAAAGAAGAAGCAAAGCACACCAGAGAACCTGCCAACCACCTGCACACTGAATCTTTGAAACATGACACAATAAATCTTCACGATGAATTGCTCTCCTCACATAAAAAAAAATATACACATGAAAAAGAAAGGTCAAATATGACCCACAAAAATACTAATACTCATTGTCAAACAAAAGGTTATGTTTTACTTTAAAAAATGGTTACAAAAAAAAATGCATTAGAAAATAATGCAACCTATGCATTAAAGGTAAACCAAACAAGAAAAAAACTATACTATAAACAAAAGTTTCCCTTTTTGGATTAGTAATCATGGTAGACAAACGGTGTACAACATGACAAATGACTCACGGGCGTTTTCTTCATCGACCTGAGTCGTTCCAGATCTGATGAAAAGTCAAGAGGCTCTCCGATGAGAATGGTCACATGCTGAGGAAAACATCAGAAGTCTGATGGATGTCACATTATTAATGCACATGTTAATTCAGCAAAAGAGAATCTATTTAAAAGGAAGAAAGAAAAAAATTAGGGATATACTGAAAGAAGTCTGCATGGGGTGCTCACGAATAAAAACAATTAGGAAGATATAAATGCAATTTCTAGGATGCTTGAATCTATATTATAAAGACCTGGAACATCTTGCTGAAAAAAATAAAAAACAAAAGCAGCAGTAGTCGACCAAGAATAACATTCTAAGAGAATTTGGAAGAAATTGGGCGACAAGTGGAGACCAGGGTAACGTTTTTTTTAAAGAGCATCTAAGCAGAGAAACAAAAGGCAAACTATGACCATGGTTGTCTTTGCCTGAATCAGAACCGACACTTGATGATGATAAATTCTCAAACCACTAGCTGTCATTTTCTGCTAATCGACTCGCAAGACTGAATTTAAATTTGGTCTAAAAACACATTATTTAAATCAAATTTTACTGACTGTATTTTTCTTCTTCCAACAGCAGGTGTGATCAGAAGCCACAGTGGTTGCCTTTTTGTGTATGTGTTCTTCGTCAGATTACGAGTGTATATGTAGCCTATTTGAAAAAAATGTACGTTCAATATGGGCCAGTTTGCATGAAACATTGATTCAATTCCTATTTTATTGTGAAGCGCCAAGAGCCATCAGGTTGTATAGAAGTGATCTTTATTATCATTTATTATTAATATTATGAAAGACAGTTTCAATGAGAAGAACCAAACAAAAGACTTTTGGGGGCCCTTGACAGTAAAAATGCAACAGCACAAGCATGTATAATTACCTTCCTGATCTGAGGAATATATGGCCTGGAGTTGGGTAAAACTGAATCCATTCCTGAAAAAACAAGGAACATCTTTCTTACACCATGCACAAATGGTAAAACATTTGTAAATTCAACCAAAGTTACTTGTTGGGTACTGAATAAATTTTCTCCAAAGCAAATCAAATTTAGTGTGTACTGTAGGTAGCGTGACAATTATATCCATTGAATTTTTAAAGTATCTCATCACTTTGGTATCACTGGCGTCCATGTTGTAGTGATCCGGCGCTTCGCTGTTGAAAAACAGGAGACTGGAGTTCAACTCAAAAATGGTGAGAATTTTTATCAAGTATCTCGGCCTTTCTCCAGGGATGTTGTATCCCTCTCAGCCCGAAATGGCCCTGACAAGCATAGTCGGAAGCCCACCTCCTAAATGAACTAAATAGTGTCGATGGGGGCGTAAAAACAGCACACTAAATTCTTAAAACTTTGGTTTTGGTATATAATTCATCAGTAGCAGCATGTCAGTTCAAAACATTTGTAAAGCTATTGATTAAAATTTATACTACAACCAGATTATCTTTCGAGTGAATACATCTTACGAGAGAGCAAGAGAGCAAAAAAATACAGACACCTTAAGCTATCTTAAGCTTGCTATCAATACCATCATATAAATACAGCAGACTGTATCTTTCAACATCAGTAAGTATCAAACCATAGTAAATGTGCTTACCAACATGCCAAATAGGGAGTACGATTGGTGTTCTTTGGCAATCAGCTACTGCACGTCCCACCCCTGAAAAATACAGAACAAATGTAATCTTTTTTTAAAAGGAGGAGACATTTGGATAGCCTACCAGTTCAGTTGTCTTGAAATATAATGCTGTTCGGGAATCTGCATGCCCAACAGATCCTCTAACATCTTAAAATCAACAGTGCCCAAACTGTCAGCACAATCTTTTCTTAAATCATTGCTGAAAAATAGTAGGCTACAGCAAAAACCTGAATTCAGTGCTGGACAAAACATCACAGGAAAAGGAAAAGAACCCTTCCTGCCAAGGATTTCATCTGGATAGAAAACAAAACCCAAAGAAACCAACAAAGAATCTCCAAAACAAAGCAACAAAAAGAAATAACCTTACTAAAAATCTTGGAAGCACACCCTGAGGTTCAGACAAGAACACTTTTGCGAAACCACAACCAAGGCTACACAAGAGCTGCCCTAGACTACAACACAAGAGCTGTACTACACCACAATATCTCCATACAAAATGGACATGGTGACACTTATATGCCCACATTTAGACTTATTAACACAAACATGGACGAGACCTACTTGAGATTCCTTAAAACTATCTCAAAGAATACCCTAGAACAGCAATCACTCATCATAATAAACAGAATATTTTTAATGGTTATACTCACCCCATTTTAGCCGCAGGAACTCATTTGTCATGTTGATCTTCCCTGTACAATAGCAAAAATGGGAAATGCGTTGTGAGACTACAAATGAAACCATTCCACAGACACCAAAACAAAACATTCAAGAGCTCTGTAAAGTAATGCAAAAGCCCAAAGGTCATAAGCTTTATATCTCTAAACCTTCATCATTCTAAAAAAAAAAAAGTACCCACAAAAAATCGTTCCCCTCCTTCCTCCCTTTTCATCTTCTCTCTCTCTTCCTCCACCTCCCTCTCTCTCTCAAGTTATGTATATAACAAGAATGGCTGGAATGTAAAAAACTGAAATGTATATTTTTGGTGGTGCGCATGTGTTAATGTGTGCATGGGCGTATATCTGTGTGTGTTTTGTGCACATGTGTGTGTAATTTGTGCATTTGTGTGTGTGTGGGGGGAGTATGTGATTGCATTGAGCTCCATTTACCACAGACAGGAAAAAAATTAAAAGACAAAGCAAACAAAAAATGGTAAGCACTGCTTTGGGTTTTGTCAAAAAAATATTTTTATTATTAACACTTTCCCTACCACAAGCCGCATTTTGCGGCTCACGGATGCGGCTTGCGGACACGGCCTCGCTGGACCGAGAGCCGCAAAATACGGCTCGAGTGGCTCGCTATCTATTCCAATCCAGTAATGAAAAGATACAAAATTCTCGGCCGATCCACGTTTTCAAAATAATAGAATAGACTTCCTGTTAGCAGATACGAAAGACAATATTACACTGACAGACGATTTTTAGTGATTTCAGCGCTTTTTTTGTCCCCTTCGAAGCGTAAATATCAGGAAAAAAAGCACTCCCTTGACTTCAGTATATTTCTCATACTTTCACTTCTATATTAGGTACACATACATAACTTTCAGCATTTCTTCGCATTACTAGAGGCAACCTACCTGGGAAGTTTGAGTGATGCTGTTGTTGTACGTTTTTAGTTATGACCTTTCAAAGCTGGAAAATTGTTGATTTCATATGACACCTTCGATATTGCATTATAATCACTTTTAGAAACCCCAAAGTAATACAATTGGAATAAATCTTCAATATTGTATCGCCATCTAATAGATTATTTTTTAACCTTCAGTTTGATGGACCATAAGATATGGTTGGTGTGTGTTTAGTTGGATGTTTTCACATTTTCCTTTGGCGGGGTAGGGACGTAAAAATAGGTAAGAAAAAAGCCCTGGGCCAGTGGTGGATTTTGGCCTGGTAGGAAAAACATTCCTCCTGCCCAACTTTTTTACTCAGAGCCCTACTTTGCCTTCAACCCACTTTTTTTAAAAAGGCAACTGCATGAATACCCATAACCTTTATCTAATCTAGCATGAATACTGAGCTCTGTGAAGATGCCATACCAACATGGCTGTCGCGAACATATTGGGAAATCCTGTATGACTTCTATTGAATTGATACAGCCAACCAAGAGTTGCTTTATTACAAAGAAAGTTTTGTTAAAACAATTTTATGAACAGTTCAAGATATTAAGGAAAAAGAGGTGCAAATTAGCAATAAAAGAAAATGTTCTTAGATTAGTAAATAAAACATTTTCAGCTTACCTTCAGGGAATATATGACACCAATTCCCTAAGTCAAGTTGGTCAACCATGTAATCCATGCCTTTCTGATAGACACCGTCTCCCCTAACAATAGGGAAAACTTTTCCAAGAGAAAAGAAGGTGGAGAGCAGGTTGCTCCCTTTGAAACAAACATCTTCAGCTGCTGATGAATACCTCATCCTCTTAGTATTTGCTATTTGCCTGGCTTTAAGTGCGCCTGTGTAGAGGACAATGAAAAGTGTGAAGGGGAAAGTCACATATACAGCTGCCTATAACAGAAAAAAAAAAGGCTTAAAAGGATACTCAAGCTGGTACGGTTGTCTCTCATAACTTCAAACCCATTTACAAAAACTGAATTTGGAATTCAATCCCAAATGAAGGAGACACTAATTTTATCTGCAAGATTTTTTGCTTCACAGTGATGAGTGAAAGAGTCTTTATAAATGGTGTTTTTCAGCTGAATAAACTTTCAAAACTAAATAATTGTAGTCTATATTTAAATGCTGTTTGAAAGCGCACTCTGCTCAAAAGGAAACTTTCCCTCGACAACAGATTTGTGCCTTTGCAATTTATATTACAAATATTGGTCTGCCTGGTCTAAATGCATACTTTATTCCTAAAACCAGCAAAAACTGCCATAGAAAGGAGCAAAATAATTTAACAAAGGCGAAACCTACTAAAAACAGTTGAATGTTTGGTTTCACAGGCCTCCTAAGAAGACATTTTCTATTACTCCTTACTCGCAAACCCAAGCATAAGCACCCCTGAAATGCCAACTTATTAATATTTTTTCTATGCTTTCTGTTTGAGAAATAGTTCAGGCGGAGGTGACGGCCTTTTTGTTTCTCCACCCACTGGATTCACAACCCCACATTTGGGACTTTTCAGGGGTTACAGTTTGCTTTTATAGCTTATATCCATAACAATATTATTTGGTGCACTACCCTTGAAAGGCATAATGTATAAGCCCCCTGAGAAAGAAATGTTATCTAAAGTTTTGATATTGCTTCAAGGAACATTGATAAAATCTGGACAACCGCCCCACCTCCGCCCAGACTATTTCTCAAGCAGAAAGCATAGGATAAATAATAAGCTGGCATTTGAAAAAGAACACAGCCATGCATTCTATGCTTGGACTACTTTAAATTCAGAAAGCATTAAAACCAGTCAAACCTGCCAAGACAGAAAGATATATTTTCTTCCTTGTTATGTTTTAAAAAAAAATCAAATTTATGAAAAAACAAACACATTACATTTTTCACTACATAAACTTAGAAAAAAAAAATCTCAGCTGTTCACATTATATTTTCCAGTCTAGTTTCATGATTTCCACAATTAAATTTCCCCTCATATTTTATCATGTACATATTTATGACAAATTAACATAAAAATTCTCTCAAAAAAAGAGAAATGTGGTAAACAAAACAAAAAACACTTTAAAAAAAAAAAGACATACCCCACATGAGTGGATCATCAATGCAACTGCTATGATTGGAGACAGTCAAAAGTCCCCGGTTGTCTGGTGTTTTATCAAACATATCATGTAGAATTTCTCTGTTGTGAAATCTTGCTTTATTTAGCCATTCTGTAGAATAAGGAAGAGGACAAACAAAAATTAAAGTAGCCTACACACTGAAGGACTTTAATTATTTTGCATGCCAGCATTTCATCAGAAGAGAAGAAGTGCATGTACAATATTGCTGAACAAAAAATATAGAGTACAGAGGAATAAGATATGAAATAAACTTGATTTAACAAAAGCTTGTAATACAAGAGAAAGCCAAAAAATAAAACACCTGACAAAAATATAAAGACAATGTATTTTGTAGTCACATTCCACTACAACAAATAATCGTTTGTGATGTAGTGGTCTGCACATTATTTCAGTTGATGTAGGAATAAGTCATTCGTTGAGTCAAAACATGTAAAAAATTCTTATTACAGTCAGTGCAAGGAAAAGATCAGGTTCTGCACTTATGGTCTTGACTTGACTTTCCACTTCCGCTGGCTGCAATTTTCTACGGTGGAATCCTGTTATAACGAGAGAGAGGGGACCGGTGCGAAACATCCGTTATAGCAGGATTCTCGTTATAAGGGATCCAGTAATAAATTAGAGGGAAATAGTGCAGTAGGCCAAATCTATGAGTTTGGCTGTCTGTTCGTTTCTTTTTGTAATCTCCCCTGATGATGATTTGGTTCAACATGATCTCTAGGTCTTATTTGATCAAAAATCGAATAAGGTTTCTTTCTCTAGTGCTAGCAATGTGGATAGCTCGGCGTTCGCGATCAGAAATAAAGTTCTCTAGGCTAACTTATCCGCTGTGTTGTCCCCCACCCCACCACACCCTGTGGTGCGTTCCATCTGCTTGCGCACGCCACACATTCGCTCCATCCATCACAGTCACATCGTTGTGACCTCTTCATCCCCGCATCGGAGAAGTGAGAGGCGTGGTAGGCCTAGATAATCTGGACTAGGCTGGCCTATCACGCAATGCGTTCTGTTTGTCTGTGCATACCACATCCTCCCCACTCATTCGCTCCGCCTTCATTGTTGACACACGTGGGCTCTCCCATTCGAAAGATAACCAACAACTGGCGAAGTTTTGCAAGAATAAATGGCCTATGCGCTGTGCACAGCAACAGCAATATTCCGCTATAACCGACTCGCATGTTTGTCTGACTGCGCTATAGCAATATTTTATTTACAAAGATAAAGAAGGGGGGAAAAAAACAGGGTTTTAGAATAGTGTCTTTATAACAGACTTCTAGTTATTTCAGGACCCGTTATAAGTGGATTCCACTGTACTATCTTTTCCCAGTTTCTAAATTTGATGTCGGTTGAATTCAAGTAGGCTTAGCTCCTGCATGCATCTTTGCATGATTCATAGCATGTCTTCTTGATTGCATCACACTTGAACTGAACTTGTAAACTGGTATCTATCATATACTGGGTCGTACTTCTTAATTCTCCTGCTGGCCCACACAGTTTTTCCTGTAATGTTAATGGGACTGGCCACATTTCATGTCTTAGGGCTTATTTGGGCTGTGTGTCGTGCACTGTTGCAGGATGTGTGAAACTCAAAGTTTGGTCTGCGCGATCTTTGTAGATGCTGACCCTATTTCCTCCACATCTAGTTCTCCACAGAAGAAATCTTTTAGTACTCTTGTATCTTCTATAATTATGTGAATCTGTCCTAATTGTTTCTGATTCTGTGTAGCATGAGCAGTGTAATGTTGTGGGAACTCCTGACTTTCCAGTATCTCTGTGTTGGATATTTCGCCTTGCCATGTTGCTGCAAGATTCTCTCTAATCTTTCAAAGGCTTCTCATTTAAAAGCTGTTAATTTCTTTGTTCTGGTGTGTATATAGCATTTAGGTCTCGTATGTGTACAGCAATGTGCTCAGAAGGTATGCTTGGTACTCTTTCTTCATTGTAGTCTCAATATAGAATTTCCTGTTACTCACTTTATTTGAAAATTGCTCATGACTGGCAATTATTGAGCAGAAATATGCCAAGAGAAGAAATCTACAACTTCTAGGTCTCATTTCCAACTGTATTTATTGGTCCCCGGCAGATAAAAGACACAGATCAAACAGTGTCTCCCACAATCAGCAGTCTCACTTTCATCAATCATTGAGACCTCTCTCTCTTGCCCTTTTTAACTCCCAGTGGAGCACAGGCCATCAACAACATTTCTCCAGCAAGCCTGTCCTGTGCATCCTTTTCTTGCTGTTTTCATGATGTCCCCGCCTTTTCCATTTCCGCTTGTACCGCTCGCCTCCATGTCATCTTTGGTCTTTCTTTCTTACGTTTTCCTTGTGGATTCCACGTCAAAGCCTGTCTCATGATGCTTGTCGGGGGTCTCCTCAGGGTGTGCCCAATCCATTTCCATTTCTTCCCCTGTATGTCTTCCTTTACTGGCTTTGGCTTGTTCTTTCCCACAGTTGAGCATTTGTGACTCGATTGTACCACTTGATCCCCACTATCCTTCTTAGACATCCATTTATGAAGCTCTGCACTTTCCTTGCTGCTGATGCTGTGAGCCTCCATGTCTCTGAACCATACAGTAGAACAGTCTTCACGTCTTTAGTTTTAGTAGAAGTTTTACAGCACTCGCAACTGCATAAGGTCATATGAGCGCCAGAAGATTAGACGAGTTACAAGACAGTAACAAACACAAAAAAGGAGGAGGGGAGATGAGGACGATAGATGTTTGATAGAAAAGAAGGAGCAAACCACACCAGAGCACCCGTCAACCACCCGCTTCTTCACGTCTGAAGATCCTCAGCTTGGTGTTCAATCCCAGTTCCTTAGACATCTATATATATTCCTGAAGATGATGAATGCTCATAGAGACCTCATTAACCATAAATGGCCGCCCTTTGACTTCCGTTGAAGGCAGTTGAACCAATGATGAAAGGTTCATTGCCATTGCAAAAATGCCAATGCTCTGATTATATGGAAGCCTTGTGTCACCTACAGACTCCAAAGGAAAGGTGAGGTCAATATGTCATGAAGACAGTAACTTTCAGTAAGCTCAAGGAACTGCTAGAAATGGCCATTCATCACCACTCTCCACTGGGGCTTCACTCCTTGATTAGTTCCAAATCAAAGTTAAGGATTTTATCCACCCTTTCATGACAAAGAGTAGTGTTATTATAGTATTTTCCTGACAAAACAATTAGTTGTAAAGCAGTAGTAGAGTCCAAAAGCATGTAAATATATATATATATAGTTTTTCTAGTTATCAAAAGTAATTATGCTTTCAAATATGGGACCATCATCAATTTGCATTTACATTTCTGCTCTCTGAATCCCTGCAAAACATGATCCTTTCTCCAACATGTGAATTTCTCAAACTTTATATCTTCACAAAATAAAATTTGTAACACACATGATTCTGAACTCGGTTTACTAACGATAAAAGCACACTCAACAGATTCATTTGTTTAGTGCTAGAATTGAAGAAGGAAAAAAAAAAACAGAGGTTGTGATCAAATTGTCTCTCAATTTCTTCACATTTCATCGAAAAAGACTCTCAACCACTTACCAAGCCAAAATTTGCAAGTGAATCCAACGGTAGTAACAGCAAATCGAGTCGACAGTTTCCACAACCAAGGAACTCTGTAGCCTTTTTTCATAGGTGGCATTTGCCACGAGCCTTCTTTAAGCGGCATTTTACTTCCTCACAACCCCAGATGGTACCAAGCATTCATCACCTATAACAAAAAAGTACATTTTGCAATTAAAAATTTATGATTAAATCAGATATATCTGGTAGGTGGCAGAATCAAGAGTAAAAGTTTGTCACTGATGAATTATATGAACATAGTCTGTAGAACAGTAAAGTATCACAATGAGGACACATCCCTTTTCATTACAGTGTAACCGATAAAATCTGTTCTTTGTGATCATGCTAAAAATTGCTTGCGAAATATAACACAGCCATTTACCTGACAAAAGTTTTTACAAAACCTTCATTTGCTTTTGAAAAAAATAAAATTTGAGGCAAAAATAAGCAAGACATGTCACATTCTTTTGTTTTTAGTAAAAGAGTTTTACGGGACTAGCAACACAATATGGTCATATAAATGCCGAAGATAGGAGGTGTTACAAGAGAGTAACAAACAAAAAAGCACACTGCTTTAATATGAAATCTGCTCAACAAGAAGAAATTCTATGAGATTTATGTTATCTGTTATCAGAGTTTTACTAGATTCATGGCTGTTACTGTCATCTTCATAGGCTGGTTCTGATTTCACAAAAACAAGTGCCGCGACTGAAGGTGTGAGTGGAACATAATTAAGACTTTAGGGTTCTTGTTGACTTTAAGCTAGGAAAAGCTGTGGTAGGCCCTTAATAGTTTGTGCCAGCAGTCAGTCACTACATTGCTGTACGTTGACATAAAGCTTTTTTTCATTTAGGCGCCAATATTTTTTGTTTGCTAAATCGAAAGCCTGAATCTGATCAATTACCCTACTAGTGTGAAAAAAAATCAAAATGAAACTGACTAGTTTTTTAATTAATTAGAATTCAAATTTTAGAAGTGCACTATTTTTAAATGGCTACGCTGACAAAAAAACTCTTTTTCTCGAAACTGCTGTGAATTAAAAAAGGCGTGCTGTCAGCTAACGGCAGTACACAAGTTTAGTCCTACACAGGATGTTCGTCTTGTCCAGAGAATTTACAAAGTATGTTCCTTTGAAAGTGGCCAACAATCCCTGGTAAAAGAAAAGGCTCCTTTTAATAAAAGAAAGAATCCCAAGAAAAAACACAACACAACAAGGGCTGCCATGACATAAAAGGGGGAAAATCCCAAACCATCCACCCCATATTGGTGGAGCTGCAGTACCAATACTGTAAAGCAGAATCAGGAAATAACTTTTTAGTAGACTAATTAAAAACATGCTTTATTTAAGACTGTGATTATAAATTTGGTGTGGGCTGAAAGCCTCCCATACCCAAAATGTTGTTCCACCCTCTTTCTTCGTTCTGTCGGTCAAAAAGGAAATAAGTTTACTAACTCACTAACAGTCAAAAGTAATTGGACTCACATGGAATACTTTAGACAAAAACTCACACAAGTACAGTTCCTCAAAATAAGGCGCCTGTAGGATGAAAACAGCCATAGAATCATAGGATTTTTTCCCTTTAGAAATAATATTACGGGGTTGGGGGGGGGGGGGGGGATAATTGAGAAAAAAAAACCCATTGAGAGAGTCACATTTTGACATAGGCTAAAAGTGCTCCTGACAGGTTGGTGGACATACCCCCTTTCCTATCAGTTCAGCTCTTCATCTTCATTCTTCACAATACACTGTAATACATGACTGTCTCTGTTACAGACCTGCCACTCTATGAAAACTCAAAATCAGGATCTCAGGGGGAAAAAAATCGGGATCAACAGCAAATCATCAAGGTGACTGTCAAATTGACTTTTTCAAGGGATGTCTATAAATATATATAGGCCTATATGCCCTCTGTGTGTCTTTATGGTTTGTTTGCGTGAGTGTGTGTTTTATCAATATTCTTTTTTTAAATCCTGAAGCATCACATCCAAGACTACTTCTCTCTCTCTCTCTCCCCATATCTTTTTCTCCTCCCCCCCCCCCCCCCACCCCCTCTCTCTTCCTCTCACTGCCCACAAACAATATTGCACGCTTTCAACACAAGAGCGCCGGAGCGTTTGTTTACACTGGTATCACGGTGAACGCATACCGGGTGAGAATAGCCAAAAGGCCCGCCCTCTCAACCCGGGTGAGAGACCTACAAACTGCGCTATTCTAACCCCAGGTGAGAATCAAGCGGATAGCAGAGAACAACAACTAAACGCCATCGGCCAATATTTACAGTAACAGCCATCTTGTTTGACCTAGGAAGGGGGATGCCCGCCGCGTCATCTGATCATGATTCTAAAAATAGTGATGATTTTGCGTAGCGAATGATTTACACTGACAGTTTCCAAGCTTCCCTCTTTGGGTCTTTCCGAGCGGTTCCCCCTAGTATAGATCTATTGCTTTTGCATATCGCAGTATCCATTTGCAAACCTTGCAGTCTCGAATTAGATCTACTCTATTTGCAGCCAGCTCAGCGTCCTATTGAGTCCAATCCCTTGTAAGTGCTTAATCTCTTGTGCTTACAAAACTTAAAAAGAAACGAGGCTATTTAGGCTGGATTGAACTTTGGTGGACCCACCGTATTTACATCATGTATTAAATGCGCACTAGTCATAACAACAGTGGGGGCTTTCCCCCTTGCAACAATAATACAATAACAATTTTTAAAAACACACATAAATGCAAAACGATAACATAAGAGCGGACCATTGCACAGCGAGGCTCAAAAGTAGTTCCAGCTTCGTTCAGTGTTGGGCCCACCAAAGTTCAATCTTACCAGAAACGATCCGGATCTTTCATTTGCATTGAGTCGTTGAACTTTGTTTGAACTTGCTTTCGTACGTAGGCCTACTCTTAGTCCTCTTCTTTTTCTCAGTTTACGTAGTGTACAGCATCAGAATCAACCTGGGCAGAAGAAAGGTGCTCCACAATCATAGACAACCGAACCGAACAGTTCTGCAAGTTGCAAAGAAAATAATCCGAGTTGGAAGGCTGCTGTCATGCGGTCATGTTGCCACTATGACTGACAAAGTGGGAATCCCTTCTCAACGATGTCAAACAAGAAGGCTGTTACTATAAATATCAGCCAATGGCATTTAGTTGTCCTTCTCTAGCAATTTTTTTTTGGGGGGGGGGGGGTAATTTTTTTTTTATAGTAGAGGGTTTTACGGCGCTCACAACTGCATACGGTCATATGAGCCCCAAAGGGTGGGTGTCAACAGAGAAGTCCTTACAGGGAATCAGACATACTCTTCTCACCTTTCCAGCTTCAAAAGCAAAAGCTTCGACCATCAAGGCACCCCAGAAATAGCAGGTCACAAGAGTGACAAACATACAAAAGAAGTAGAGGAAAATGACAATAGATAGTAAGGCTTAGGAAAGAAAAAGCAGCAGTTCCATGTTCCAGATCAGGCACAGTTATGAGTGTGACATGATGCATCAGCCCATTTACAATTCTACTGTGCTTGAACGAGAAATGTCCCCCCTTTGGGAATGGCCTAAAGACACTACAGTCAGTGGCACTGCCCGGGGGGGTGTGGGGGGGTACGTTTTTTATGACGCTCGCAACTGCATATTAGGTCATATGAGCGTGCGGGGCACATTCAACATCTTTTCAATTGGTAGGAAATTTTGAATTTTGCCCGGGTGGCATTAACGGGGCAACTTGCATACAGGACCTCAAAGATTTTTCGCCTTTGTCCGAGAAGGCTAGGTGTAGATCTTTCCTACCAGAAGATCAAGGGTGTGGCTGAAAGACAGCATTAAGAAAGAGCCAAGGAGTAGCACTAGAAAGGCTGCAGAAAGAGTCAGGAGCCCAGAGGAGGGAGCAAAGGGGGTGAGGGGGTGGGAGGCAGAAAGTGGAAACGAAAGCAGACGACAGAACCTTGCAAGAGAGCACGAAAGGAGGTGATTTTAGAGAAGAAAATTTGGTACTACTTTTTATGAATGTGGGTCCCGTTTGGGAATACTAGTTTTGACCCCACCGACGATTACATCTGGTTCTAAATTATTACTTTTTGATTCGCATGCAGATATGGGGAGATGGCCTATATCAAACCTAATTGCAAAACATTAAATTGTGTCAAATTCAGGGGGGGGCATGCCCCCCCCCCCCCTGAAGCCCCCGCAGGTTTATATGCTAAGTCAGGGGGGCAAATTAAAACCCCCCTTGCCTTGTTTCAAAACAAGTGAAATTTTACTGCTCATTTTGTAGTCTAGATCTACTGATGTAACATCACGAATATTGAAATCAGTACCGATATCCAGTACTATGTGTGGACGGAACCCACATTCTTAAGTTGTACAGAAAATTTTCGGATGCTACCCGGATTCGAACCCGGGACCTTTGAATGAGAAGGGAACCCCTTAACATGCCGTACGCATAGCCACTTTGTTGGTGATCTTGTAGTTCCGTTCGTAAAAGTCCATGATCCATTTGTTTACATCCAGAGAAGAAATTCAGAAGTCTTGATGACCAAATAAATATAGGCAACACAAAGAACAGGGATGCAACTAACTGCAAAACATCAAATTGTCGTAAAATTCCCCCTGAACCCCCCCTCCCCCACTTCCATATATTTTTATTTTAGGTCAGGGGGGCAAACCCTGAAACCCCCTTACTACTCTTACTTAACGAACCAAACTACAAAATCGCCACTTCGTTTTTTTCTTTGTTTTTGTCTATCTGATCATCCAGACCGAAAGACAGTATTCCGTAATTAGGAAAAACAGGTCTTGTTTCACTCCGGGTGAATGCAGTTGCGAGCGCCGTAAAACTCTTACAAAAGAAAAACCGGGTGAGAATAGCCAACGCTGGCAAGTCTCACCGGGGGTGAGAGGTCGATCGTATTTTTATTCTCACCCCGGGTGCCCCGGGTGAGGATAGCCACCTAGAATCTAAGTGTAAGTAAAACTAAAAATGTGAGTTACGGGTGGGTAATAACGAGGCATCTCCAGTTTGATTTACCTTTAATGAACAGTAAAGCGAGGGGAGCGAGCAGCCAAATCCAGAGCCTTAATTAAAAGGCGTTAAATGTGTGTCATTGAACAATCAGAACATTTTATCACTTGTGACTTGTGAGTGTGTAGTCTCTGGAAGGCCTCCGACCGTTAAACGGAAGTTCAATGTCAAAACCGAAAGTGAATTTCTTTTGTTTCTTCTTTAGAGAAGAGCGTTAAAGTAAAAATAAACCATAGATGTAGAATTCTGTTAAATAAACTCATGTTTGTTCGCACTATAGGCTAACCAACAGCTGTAGAAGTGTAGGACAAGTATTTCATAAATCCTTGCTGAATGTCTGTCCTTATTCTCTTAAATAACTTTAACCAAATTCATTGTTTGAAGCAATGACGTCTAGCATGGATCATAATATATGGTACGGAATGGGGTTCGTGTATCAGGCATGGACCTACAGAATTCTACACTAAAAATTCTGTGGGACTATCAAGGAGGTTGGGCCAAACTCTCTTTTATCAATTATTATTTCTGGAGTAGGCATAAAGGACCTTTATAATGTCCTTAGGAGAAGGCTACTTTGAGTATACAAACCATCTAGATGAATAAAAGATGCTGCATATGTGCATAAATCATAAATTTGCTCTATAAGAGGTAGCTCTATGGTATAGAGTCTTCTAATACTGTACACAATTACAAGAGAAAAAGAACAAATATTATTAGCGATGGCGAGCAGCATTCAGAACGACAAAATGCCAACATACCCAAGCTCTGTCTATTCTCTCTAAAGTAGATTATCTACTAATTTCCCCATTATAAAAAGACGATTGAGCAAAATCAGCTGTTGTTATGTTGTTGTTGTTGTTGTTTGTTTGTTGTTATTATTGTTCTTTTTTGTGTTCTTTTCTTCCAATTGGTTTCAGTATGTGTTCAGAAGATTATTGTATTTTGTTTATTTCACTTTCAAAAGTGAAGAGGACATAATATCAGCAAAAGCAATGTAATTGAATTATACACTGTTATATAGATCTATTCATTAAAACATCTGATTTTGTTAATTTCAGTTTGAACTGTATATTTCATTGGCTGGCTGTCTTGAATTAGATTATTGGTTTGCGATTCCCGCCCGTCTGAATACGCAGTTAGAAGCTTGGTTCGTTGTTTATGTGTTATTATGTAGCAAGATCACGGAGGTAACAATAAGCCAATAAGCTCCTTGAGCAAGATCGAACATTTTTGCTGTACGGATCATTTTCATGGGGTATAAAATGTCCTTCTACACAGAAGAGCACTTCCTTAACGCATGCGCATTGGCCTGGGCCACGTAAAAGTATTGCAGTCAACAGATCCACCGTGAAAACGTTGAACCAGAAGTCGTTGGAACTTTTGAACTCATTTGTCCATTGGAGTTAATTTTCACAGTCACGATGGTGAGCGAGAATACTGCATGCTTCTGGTTTTGGATGTGGATTCCATTTATTACACATGAATCATAGAATAGCGGTGGAAATAGACTCTTGCCTTGGCGCCGGCTTGGCGAAATCGGAAATGTCACCAAATAATGGCAACTCCCATCCATCGTTTCATACATGATACACAACTCTATAATACAATGTTAGATCGCCGCCAAATTTTAATACTACGGTTGCACTGGAGACTGGTTTCGTTTTAGTTTTTGTCATTTAATTTTTAATAGATAAAAGATGGGGTGAGAAACAAAGTCTTCACTACCTAACAGTAAGTGCTACTCCATCCATGCTTACCTAAATCGTGTTGGCTGTGTTTTGTTGACAATCGTCACCTCGTCAGAAGTAAAAGCAGAAACGTCGGAGCCCCATGTCACCACCGTGCCAGTGTCCATAAAATACTTAGTTCTTAGTTTAGATTATTAGTCAATCACCCTCAAAGAAATAGCCATTTCATGACTGTGATGATAGGCCAAGCCCATGGCCCACTAGTCTTTGTCTTAGTAGAGTGGGTAAATCTAGATCTAGATCTAGATCTAGATTCTAGATTCTAGGTGACTGATCGTAGTTGTAGTATTCTCTCTCTTGTCTTTGTGACACTTTGTCTTCTAGCTCTTAGCAGTAAGTTACTGTCTTAGAACTCGTTTTCTTTTGTTTATATTGATTCTCATTCTTGCACCAGTCCCTGAAGCCTGGGGTGAGGATAAACAGGATATTATTCTCACCCGGGGTGAGAATAAAATTGATACTATTCTCACCCTGGGTGAGAATAACAGCCGCCTACAATTCTCACCTGTTTTTTTTTTCGTTTCTGCCCTTTTTATTTTGTTTCGGGCATCAAAGCAAAGATAGGGCCTAGTATAATAGTATCTTTGATCATACTCATAGGACCCCTGTCACTAAACTAAGCGCTCCAGGCGACGAAACTTGCCTCCCTCTCTCACTCCGCTGAGCACGTGAGGCGACTAAAATCGCCAACGGGCGGGCCAGCTCTCGAGCGCGGGAGGCGACTGTTGTCAATTTGGGGGAAAACCTTATCTTTTGAGCAAATAGTGTCACCTTTTGTTGCTATTTATTGGTTCTGTAATGGAAAATTTTTACTCTTGAATGGTTTAACCATTCAAAATTAAGAAAAAAATAAGCCTAGGGTTAAGGCACTGCGTGCCTTAAAAATAATTGTGGGTTCTGTTAGGGATAAAATGTTTTTTTTGTTGTAAACAAACTATTACTAACATTATTTCATTAAATAGCTTTCAGTTAAGGCTATTATTTTTAAGAACATACTACTGTGGCTAGTGAATTCCTTTCTGAATTTAGAATATACACTTGTCTAGGGTTTTGGTGAAGATATGCGTGCATGCTCTCAAGATTTTTAAAAATGAAACAATAACAATCCCCATGGGAGCCTAGAAAAATCGGCCAGCGTTGTGGGGCCGATCACGAACAGTCACTCTTACATTTCACAAATTATTTTTTCTATCATCCTATTTGCATACATGTAGGCCTACCTTTTCTCAACACCCAGGTAGGCCTAAGAATAAAAATCCATTGCATTCTCAGACCGGGTGAGAATAATATTCATTTTATTCTCTTCTCATCCGGGGTGAGAATAACAATATAATATTATTCTCACCCCTTTTCCTATCATTAGCTCATTCAAATAATGACAGTGCTGTCTTATTAGGCGGGGACTTCTGTGGTATGGGCTTGGGAGAAATTCCGTAATGAGCGACCATTATGAAATAGAGTATAGAATAGAGGGTTTGGTTTGGGAATAGGGTCAGGGTTAGGTCTCTTCTTTATTGTGTTTGTTGGGGTGGTCGCTCGTTATGGAAGTCCTTCTGTGGACTTGGCTAATCTAGATCTATGTTGTGTGTGTGTCTGATGTTAAATAGTCTAGCCTGTGGTCATTGAACATTCACTGTTAATTCCATTACTCCATTAGGTATTATTTTACTTTCACTGGGGTCTAATGCTCAGGTAATTCAAGTAATGCTCAAGTAATATAAGCCCTTTTCTTGATCATTTTTATCTGTTTTACATGAATATTGACTTTACATTCGTCACAAATTAAATTTTTGAAATATTTGATGGTTTTCATCTGAACTATATCAAACGAAAACAACCTAATTTAAGGTGATAACTTAATATGGATAGTATATATAATTTAAATGGAGTCAGTGAGTAATGGTTATAATGCTTACAAATTTTTACAAGACATTGGGGTAATGTTTTTTTTATCTTAGCAACTGTAGTAGTATCAATATCATGCTGTTTCAATTTCAGCCTCTGAGACTTGACATCAAACGCAAGTTGTCTGCCAGGTCTGACAGGGTGAAGAGTGTTGATTTGCATCCTTCAGAGCCATGGATGCTGGCAAGTTTGTACAATGGCAACATACACATTTGGAATTTTGAGTCTCAGGTAATTTTTGCTTTTATAATACAGTATAATCCACTTATGTCGACATGCTTTTGAAAGTGGATTTGATGTCGATATATAAAAATGATGATAATGAAAATATAAAGCCAAAGAGGAAGAAATATATGGAGGTCAGCTGTAAAAAGACAACACAACTTTTTTATGCTGGTTGCTTCTCTTGATTCTTACACAACACACGTGTTGGAGTTACGGTACCGAATACCGAGCAACGCGAGGCTCACACTACACACCAGCGCAAACTTTGTTGTAATAGCAGCCTTGTAAGGCTTGTTTATATCAGCTTGCTGGGGGAAATGGAAAGGCGAGGCACTGACTAACTGACCGTGGCACTTGCCAGCGACAGACTGAGAATGGGATGGGGAAGGGAACTGTGCGATCGGGAGTGGGGGTAGAGAGGTGATGCCCAGTGCGCGAGACGCTCACCTCTGGGGGAACTGTACTGTTTTGGAGACTACACTGTGTAGGCCCTACATAACCTACTAAGGCCTGGTGTGCCGAATAGGTTACTTGGCGGGTATGCGGACTTGATGAAGAACTAATGCATTGACTGTTAGCATGGCTTTTCCCCCCATTTATGTTCGTGGGCTTCGCCAGGTACCCAGGAAGCAGGTCGATAGAGCAGAGTGGGCCCAAAAAAAAGTTGATATAAGAGAAATTGTTTAGTGAAGGTATTGAAGGAAAAATTTCCTAATTGGAAAATATGTCGATATGTCAAAATGTTGATACATCGGCTGTCGATATAAGTGGAATATATTGTAATTTATTCTTATTTATGTGCTTTTATTTTTACTCTTGGAATTTCAGGAAAAAAAGAATATTATCTCTCTTCAACTTCATTTTATCTATTTTATAAACCTTATCATTTAAAACTGTCCCTTTACTGTTAGATTCTCCTTTAATTTCTGTTGTTCTTATGTAATGATTGATGTATCATTATTCTTTGCTTTTTTAGCATGAAAAGTATTTTTCGCATCATGTATAGATATGATTTCCGTGACGTTGATGCAATTTGTACCTGATGTATTTTTTAAAATAACATGCAGTGTGTGGTTTTCTGTCATCTGCATATATAATGCCCTCGGCCAAAAGCTAGTGATTGAGGGCAAACTTTTCTTCATCACGTGAATTTTGTGTTTTGATATTCAGCATTGTTTCTATTTCAGCAACTGATCAAGTCATTTGAAGTTTGTGACCTGCCTGTCAGAGCAGCAAAATTTGTTGCGAGAAAGAACTGGGTCTTATCGGGCTCTGTAAGTGTTGATTCACATATCTGATATTGTTTTGTGGACATTCATTGGATTTTATCATGTTGTTTTTCAAACTTCTATGTTCTGTAAAAAAATGGAGAAGAGGGGTGAAAGTCTCATTCATGATTCATTTCATGTAGGTATAAGTGAATTTCATGTTACTTTTATTTCTTAATGTGTGATTAAACTGAAGTTGCATATTTAACCCCCCCCCCAAAAAAAGTACGACTGTTTAATATAGTGTTTGGCTCAAATAATAATAACAGCCCAGAAGTACAACAAAAAAATGTATGTGAAAAGAAAACCTTTGTTTAATCTTTCTGCATTGTGAGGAAGTCATCGGTTCCTCTTTTGTCTGTGGTGAAGGGGTTGGAAAGGCAAGCTATATGAAGTTACGGAGGAAGAAAGTCACCTCAGGAGGTGTGGTTTTATAGACTTTGGCTTACGTTCATTTTTTTATTCTCAAAAGGTTTTTAATTTTTTTAATCGATTTATTTTGTATTTTGTTTTGCGCTATGGTATAACATTTTTTCCTCTTATTTTGTTTATTCTACAGGATGACATGCATGTCCGTGTGTTTAATTACAACACACTGGAGAGAGTCCACCAGTTTGAGGCACATTCTGATTATTTGCGCTCTATTGCTGTTCACCCCACTCAACCATTTATCCTCACCAGCAGTGGTGAGTATTTACAATTCATTTTTTTATGCTCATGATCATTGTTTACCTTTTATGCAAAAGAGAATTTAAAAAATCAAATAGATTTTTGTGCGTGTTAATGTCAGAAGGAAATTTTATTTTTTAAGTTGCTTTTTTGTTCCAGTGGCTTTTAATTTGATTCCTTTATGATCAAAATTTTAAAGAGTACTTTAAAATGAAATAATGACATGCTGCTGTTTGGTGGGGGGTGTCTGGGTCCACTCAATATATTTCCTTTGTTTTAATGCTTAAGTTTTATTTATAAACTTACTGCTGTGGAAGTTGGCACAGATATTTGAGATGTATCTACTTTGAAGAAAAGAAATCAGTAAATCAAAATATATTCTGGACAGCTTTTTACAATAAGTAACAATAAGATGGACATGAAGCGTTTGCACGTAGAAAGTTAAGCTGATGGCAGTACTATTAGATCATGAATTAAGAAGATATGATGCCCACTACTTTTGCTCATGCTGGCTTCCACCCATGCAATTTTAGACCATTATTTTCCCTGCACATACACCTAACTATAATATTAATTATCCCATGTTTTCATTAGCAGGGAAAGGAATATTTTCAAAGTGCAAGTTGTCAATGTTTAAGCTTCTCTCCATTTGGATAGAATGGTGGACCTTAGAATCTCCTTCATATGAATTTGGAATCGGGTTGGGTTGTTTTTTTCTGTAACCCTATCTCTTTTGAGTTGGCTTTATGTTGGATTATTTTGTTTTTCTTGTCACTGATCATTGAACAGTGTGTTGTGACTTAGTTCCCTGAACTGTTGCTTTGTCTCCCAATGTGGGTGGTTGGTGTGAGTGCTGTGGGTATCAAACATCTACTATCCTCCTCTCCTCCTTTTTTTGTGTTTGTTACCCTCTTATAACACCTGTGATCTTCAGCACTAATATGACCTAATGCAAGTGTTGCATGTGCCGTAAAACTCCTACTGAAACAAATGTCTCCCCAGATGACATGCTGATCAAGCTGTGGGACTGGGACAAAAAGTGGACCTGCACCCAAGTGTTTGAGGGACACACACACTACGTCATGCAGATCGTTATCAACCCAAAGGACAATAACCAGTTTGCCAGTGCCTCTCTTGACAGAACCATCAAGGTGAGAAGGAAACATGTCATTACACAACTTACTGCTGCTCACTGGCAAAATGTCACATAATATTTTCAATATATGTGTTAGGACATGACGGAATCAGGCGATCGTCAATTTTTTGGCGTATGGAGTTATTGGTATCACCTTAAAGGCTGTCTATTTGGGCTGCTTTCAATTACAGAAATATCCATATCTTGGATACCAGTTGAGATATTGGAAATTGAAGGAGGTGGGGATCGCATGGTTTCAGAGGTAAGATTAACGAGAAAATGGCTGCCAAAGTTTAGTTATTTCCATAGCTCGAGAGTCCATGAAAACTTAAAATTTACATCTTTTATGCCTTTATTCAACGTTTTTCAGTAAAAATACACACAGAAATGTGTTCTTTAATGGGCATAAAAGGTTTTCAGACAAAAAACAAAAATTCGATAAAATTCAGAAACCTGCGGAAAAATGCCAGTTTCTTCACTTTCATTATTTTGACGAGTGCCTGATTTCACCACGCTGCCTCACATTATATGTATTTTAATTTGTGTTCTGTTGTTGAAAGCGTCAATGGCAGCACGGTACCCCTCTCTCTTCTTTTTTTTTTTTTTGTGTTGTTTTTTTGTTTAAGGGAAGTAATAAATTCTGATTTTATTGATATTCCTCAAATGTTCATGTTGTGTGTGTGTGGTGGTGGTTGGAGGGCTGACAGATTACACTGACATTCCTGAAATTACGTATTGTCTTTGCTTATGTGTCTGTGTTTGTGTATGGTGGGTAAGAGGAGAGAGGTGTTAATATAATCAACCATGCTTATTTGACTGATGTACGAATCTTTCTATGTACTTCATGTGAAGTGAACCTTTTTATTTAGTTCGCTTCTATTCTGTAGTCTTTAGTGGGTGGTTGGCGGGTGCTCTGGTGTGGTTTGCTTTTTCTTTCCTATCAAACATCTGTCGTCCTTATCTCCCCTTCTTTTTTTTTAATGTTTGTTACTCTCTTGTAACACCTCTAATCTTCTGGCGCTCACAAACCGAATTCTTTAGTCTGTCTTAGTAAAGCATGAACGAGTGATGAGACAGAACAATAATTCTAAATAGGTGTTTCTATTTACATTTTACTTGGCTATGGCAAATTTTTACCAACGAGAGATAGTTTATTAACCCTCTAGTGCCCAGTATCACATATATGTCAAGCCTCTAGTGCCCAGTATCACATTTATGTCATATCACCTTTAATCTGATCTATGGGAGTCAAACATAAAATGACTAATTTGATAAAATGATCACTATATAAATCTTGACATGCTAGGTGTGGCAACTAGGGTCTCCAACCCCAAACTTCACACTGGAAGGTCATGAGAAAGGAGCCAACTGTGTAGACTACTACTGCTGGGGAGACAAGCCGTACCTCATCTCTGGAGCTGACGACAGACTTGTCAAGATCTGGGACTATCAGGTAAATCAAATTACTTACTGACAACGAAAAAGCATAAGTGAGTCTCTTTGTGGTGGCTTCATGTATTGTTCAGTATGAGGGTGAATAAGTCTTATGTAAGTTAACTCACTTCAGACGGGTCACACAAGCCCTGCGTGACCAACTTTGGAATTTTTTTTTCGCTCTACAAATCACGCACGGATCGCGAGACCCGCCTCGTACCCTTGTTTGGCCAAGCCTGAGCTACTTAGACTTCGTTTCGTATCTCTGGGGCCAGTAGTTTTTAAGTTATTGAAGGTGAAGGACAGTGACCCCAACTGGGGTTGAACAGACCGGAACTCGCGCTTTGTTTTTTTCTATACAGCTCATAGTAATCCAACAGTCGCGTCGTAGTAACGGTCGAAGAAGTCGCATGAACCAGAATCACATAATTTCGCCGTTTTCTATACTTCTGTACGTTTTACTAGTTTTAGTGTCTCAGAATATGATGTGTCTAATAGTTAGGATCCTGGATATGTACCTGAACACGGCCCGAGTCGTAGTTCTAGGGCTAGATCTAGCACTAGTACCGGTGTTGTTTTTCGCGCAACGAAATCACAACGCCGTGCCGTACATCTGTCTATGTATTTTCAGTGTATGGGTCTGAATCAATGCACAGACCAGCTTTTATATATTCACCAAACACTCGCACATGTATACAAATCAAACCAGAACACTTTGAACTTTTATTTTTGTTGTTGTAGTGAATTTCATTCCCCTTGTCACGTCTCTGGAAACTTTTTGGAAAATCAAATTCATGCCAATTTTTAAAAAATCATACAAATTAAAGTATTAAACTTAGACAACTGTGGTTTTTTGTATTAGATTAAGGTTGAATGTTACTTACTGTGTCAAAAAATAATTACAATAGGGTAATTCTGAGAGTTGTGGTGATTTATTGAAATACCCCAAAAACGCCAGTCTTCAACGCTTGTGACTGGTGAAAGGGCCCAGTCGCAAGTGAGTTAAAACATCAGGCTGTGGAGGTTAAGGAGAAGTCTCAAGCCTACAGTCGAGTTACATTAGACTTGGGAACTCAGAAAAGGGAGCCTTTTTTTTTTTTCTTTACTGGAACAAATAAACATGTGTGAAATCACATAAAGTTCAGTTATTGCAGTGGTCTCTGCATACTGTTCTAAGTGCTTAAAGTCTTGTTGGTTTTAGTCTCCAGAGAGCCAGGATGTTACATGGAGGGTTTGTACTGGTTTGTTGAATGTAATTGCAAATTTCCTAGAACTTTGCTAAGTAATGAAACATAAAAAATATCCTCTTCCAAAGTTTTTGCAATGTTTTTGTACTCGTAATAACCTCGTTTATGGGAGAAATTTTGGCTCTGTAAACACTTTTTAAAAATCATGATAGGCAACCATGTTTCTAAATAATTAATTTTAAAATTGTCTTTTCACTTCAGAACAAGATGTGTGTGCAGACATTGGAGGGACATGCCCAGAATGTTGCTACAGTGGCATTTCACCCCACTCTCCCCATTATCCTGACAGGATCAGAAGATGGTGAGTGGGTACCAACCAGTAGAGGAAAAAGGAGTAGAAGGTTCAGTGAGATTTTTTATGTGTTTGTATGCTGCATTATTGTTTGATGGACATGCAAGAAAGTAGACGTTAGGGACATTTTATGTAGACATGAAAAACATCTTTTGTTATTTCAGAAAAAAACAACTGTACTGCATAAAATTATTACCTCTAACTTAATTGAATTTTTAAGTTATTTTTGCTTAATACAGTAACCAAATAGCTACTTTTGGTGGAGAACTATTTTCATAACTGTATAATATACCTGGATACCTGTGTCATCTCTCACTCAGAGGTTGGCGTGTAATGACCTTTCATCTTTCACGGTCGTGAGCTGCCGTTGCACTTTCTGCCATATCCAGGCCAGTCCATGTCCTTATGTTGTCCATCCATGTTTTTCTTTGTCTTCCTCTGGCTCGCCTGCCCCACATCTTTCCCTCAAGCACCTCTTTCACAATGGTCTCGTGTTGTTTTAAGTGGCCATGGTATTGTATTTTTCTACATTTTATTTTGTTCAGCAGGGTTTGTTTTGTTTCTTCGGGCATTACATTTTGTTAGGTAGTACTCAGTAAGTTCCCCACCTTTTCCACGGTGGCTGGCCACAATCGTCTTTTGGGTTTTGACATGCCCTAGTGAGCCACACACCTTGCTATCGTACCTCGAGACCATTCAAATTTCTTGAGATACCTATCTCTACTCTCTGCCCCACTATAGACTTTGCTGCTAAGGAAGACCACCCCGATCTCCTGCAGCTGGTGAATACATTTTGTCAGGCCGCTCCCCCGGCGACCAGGCCAGCTTGGTAGAACCTGCCAGGGACAGAAGTCCCCGCTGGTGTAGCTCTCAGGATCCTGCTGTGTAACATAAGTCTTCCTTATTATTCTGTTTCTACAACGTCAATTTGGTCTTGATAGTAAAACATAACATTGAACATAATATGTTGCAAATTTTAATGTTTCAGGCACTGTGCGCATTTGGCATGCAAATACGTACAGGCTGGAGAGTACTCTCAACTATGGTCTGGAGCGTGTATGGACTGTGGCTTGTCAGAAGGGTTCCAATAATGTGGCTTTGGGATACGACGAGGGCAGCATCATTATCAAGGTGATCCCTCACCCCATCACCTTTTAACTCTTTGTGGTCACTTGCCGCAATAATGGGACGGTGAAAATTATCTGTCTCGGTCACTTGACGCAGTTCTGCGACAGGCCCGAGAAGCCAGTTGCAGTCACTCTCCTGGCTGGGTGACCAGATGGCGTAATTTGTACTGCTGGCTGTGTGACTGCGAAGTATTAAATTTACGGACTAGTCATTTTCTTTGCTTGTAAACAAAACCTTTTCTGTTGTGTGAAGAAGAGAACTACCTTTAGTTACCACTTAAGTAGTTACCACTTAAGTGTCTGCTTTGACCTAGTAGTTAAAAATTTTTAACTCCACAGGCTGGAACCCCTACCCCATGGGTTTATGTGTTTTGGGTACTTTCCAAAACTTGAAAAATCTAGAGAATTTCAGTTTTCATAGGTGTAAAAGCAGTTAAGATTGATCATAGATATTGCTCTGAATTGTTTTTGAGTCCCTAAAAATGAAAGTCCCTCTTTTCACCTGCATGTTCGAATGTTTCCTTATCTTTCTTTGTTTTATTTTGCTCTGCAGCTTGGTCGAGAGGAGCCTGCCATGTCTATGGACTCTTCTGGCAAAATCATTTGGGCCAAACACTCAGAGATTCAGCAAGCCAACATCAAGACCATGGGAGACCAAGAAATCAAGGACGGGGAACGCCTGTCCCTGGCTGTGAAGGACATGGGTAGTTGTGAGATTTACCCTCAGACAATTTCTCACAATCCCAATGGCAGGTGTGTGGCTGAAGCCCCTTGACAAGGATATTTGTGATCTGAGACAGCTTTATTACAATTTTTTTTTAAAGAGGAAAATCAATTGCTTGGGCTTCAGGTATCAACAGTATCCAATATTTTGAAAGCACAGACAAATAAATATTGCAATGAAAAAGTCTTGTTATAGCGGGGTGATGTGTAAGATGGTTTTTAAAGTTAATGGAATATAGTATATGGACCATTTTTCAAGTCATTGAAAGTAAGAGCTGCCTTCTGATTTCTGATGTTCGATAATCAATGGGTGCAAATTTTCTCATAACCTTTTTTCCTATATTTTTATAAGTATCAATTTTCATGTCAGGTGTCAATGTTTTAAACCCAACTTTCTGAAGTAGCAATTTTTTGGTGATTTACATTCATAATTAATTAGAAAAAGATAACGGTGATAGACATACTTTTGAAATTTTTTAAGTGTTCACGTTACGAAAACGTTCCTGCGGCTTTAATTTTTTATTTTTTATTTCAGATTTGTTGTGGTTTGTGGAGATGGTGAATACACTATTTACACTGCCATGGCCCTGAGGAACAAAGCCTTTGGTTCTGCACAAGAGTTTGTGTGGAGCAATGACTCCTCTGTCTATGCCATCAGGGAAGGCAGTACATCCGTCAAAATATTCAAGAACTTCAAAGAGCAAAAGTCTTTTAAGCCTGACTTTGGTGCCGAGGGTAAATTGTTTTTCATTCTGTCTTCTGTTCATTATTTATTTTCTTGAGGGAAAAAAAGATAGTTTCTTTTGTTTGAAAGAATTTAAGTAAAAGTAACTTTTAAAGGTCGAGTTGCTTGTGGAAATACATGAGTAGATTAAAGAGATGATTAGTATAACAGAGTTTATTGTGTGTAGTTGTTTCTGTCGTTATGATACAGAGCTTGTCGGTGGGTGGTTAGTGGGAGCTCTGGGGTGGTTTGCTCCTTCTTTCCTTTCAAACATATATCATCCTTATCTCTCCTCCTTCTTTTTTATGTACGTTACTCTCTTGTAACACATCTATTCTTCGGCACTTATATGACCATATTGTGTTGCAAGTGCTGCAAACTCTTACTAAAACTAAAAAAGAGCTTGTCAAACAATGGGCACGTGATTTCTTTATCATGAGTTTTTTTTAAACCCTAGTTTAGCAGCCTATTTTGTTTTGATTCATGGTCATACCACTGTGTTTTGCATATGATTAGAGCCAAGAATATCTTAAAAAAGGATTTTACCCACCCATGATGATACAAATTTGTTAGGTTTCGTTATCGTAACGAAAAGTTTACCCTCTCAAATAATCCTCTTTTCAGCTCTTTGAATCTGATATTCTGTGTTAATCAATTTCAGGAATCTATGGTGGAAATATGCTGGGTGTTAGGTCTGTTAGTGGCCTGGCCCTCTATGACTGGGAAACCACTGAGCTCGTGCGACGCATTGAGATCACTCCAAAACATGTGAGTTCTCCAGCTGTTATTATTACTTGAAATCACTGGTTTTCACTTTTAAACAGATTGTATCTAATATGAAGGTTTCTGGGAAGAGAATGTGTGTTACTATAATGCAGATTTGTTAGTCACCGTAAACATTCAGTTTTGCAGTCAAGTAATGTTGGAAGGAAGGATTGAAAGAATAAGCTGTTGGGCAAGGATAATGTATTTATTTTACATTTCAGAGACGCGTTTATTTCTTCTTCATGTTTGTTTGTTTCTCACTTTTAAGCATTGTTAGCGGTATAATATACTTTGGATTTTTAAATTTTATCCCAGTAATTGCTGGCCATCCTGTAAGAATTGTAAAGAACCTTACATTTGTATGCAGTTTTCTATTTAAGTCATATAGTTATGACAATCCACAGATTGTTGTGAGAATTTCATGTTTGTACCTGAGCAAACCTGGAGCATGTAGGGGAAAAAACTTTGTCTTTCCTTTGTCTAGATCTACTGGAGCGAGACAGGAGAACTTGTGTGTATAGCCACAGAGGATTCATTCTTTATCTTGAAGTACAACGCAGAGGCTGTGGAGAATGCCAAGGAATCCAAAGATGCTGTTACAGAAGATGGTGTTGAGGATGCCTTTGAGGTATGTAAAACAGAGAGAGAGATATTTTATTTTATTGCTGGGGGATTGTTTGTCATATGGAATAAGAGCTTGGTGTTTCTTCCAAGTACGTTGTTTTGTTTTTAATGTGGAATTTCCCATTGACATTTTTTGGAGGGAGTAAGTAGTTTCCCGTACTGTCAGTAAGCAGTCATGTGCTTGATGGGTCACATAAATCTATTATGATAATGCTAACACGTGGAAGTTAAAGGAACTGCTGCTTTTTTTTTCCTCATCCTTACTATAGTAATTTTTCCTCTACTTTTTTTGTATGTTTGTCACTCTCTTGTGAACTGCTATTTCAGGGGTGCCTTGATAAACGAACCAGACTTTTGTGCAGTTGAAGCTAGAGAGATGAGCAGAGTAAGCCTGAATGCCTGTTTTGACTTCTCTGTTGACATCCACCCCTTGGCGCTCATATGACCTTATGCAGTTGCAAGTGCCATGAAAACCTTAATAAAACATAATTGTGGTAGAAAATTTCAGGATACTGAGGTTTCTTGCTCTCTCCCTCTCCAGGTACTGACAGAAATTGAAGAGTCAGTGTCTACTGGTCTGTGGGTGGGTGACTGCTTCATCTACACCAACAATGTCAACCGTCTCAACTATTATGTGGGAGGAGAAATCGTCACCATTGCTCATCTGGACAGGTAAGTTTCCATGAGTGTGTTTCTATGTTGATTTTTTTCAGAAAAGGAACCGCATTTTGCTGGTTATGATTATGATGAGGGGAATTTTTTTTTTTTTTAGTATGACCTTCCAGCAAACCTGAAGACTTTTAGTGGCTGGATCAAGCTGAAACTAGACCATAAAATATACACTCTCTTGAACCTGCATAAGTAGTAGGACATTTGTGGATAAAAAGAATATACACAAAGAGTAAAGGGCCAGTACTTGATAGTCTTGAAATTTGGTTGGAAATTCTTTTGTCAAGGAAACTTTTCATTTTGAGTCTGTACTGTGTAGTTAATAGTTTCCGGAGTGAAATTTACTCTCTGTAATTTCTGTTCAATCTTACCATAGATTTAATTTGTTTTGTATCATAAAACCGAATAAGAATTGGTGGGGTTTTTTTAGTTTAAGATTTTCCTGTCGAATTAACATGGTCAAGCTCATTTAGGGTTTGATGACAATCTGCTTTCTTATCAACAAAATGTTGACGCTACTTCATCCATTTGGATCTTCTTTTGTATGTTTAACTCCTGGAGAGGAAACCATTACAGGTTTAGTAAATAAACCATTGTTGAAATGCAGGTTACCTGTTCATAAAGTTTTTCCCAATTCACTTTTAAGGAGAGAAAGCAGTTACCTGAATGGCCTTTCAGTTCAGGTTATACTCAATAAGTGTGAAGTCTTGGTTTTTTGTACTTGTTACATAAAATACTCTTTTCACTTCTAGTCTTGATTGTGCATTTTATTTCAGGGTTATGTACCTACTGGGCTACATCCCCAAGGACAACCGCCTGTACTTGGGTGACAAAGAGCTCAACATCATCAGTTTCTCACTGCTGGTCTCCGTGCTAGAGTACCAGACAGCTGTCATGAGGCGTGACTTTGACACAGCAGACAAGGTGTTGCCGACAGTCCCACGTGAACAGAGGACACGTGTTGCCCACTTCTTAGAAAAACAGGTACTGTGTTGTCTTGACTTTGAAAGGAAAAATGGTAACGTGCTTGTTCTCTTGTTCAAAAGACTAGTGATATGTACGGTCACCTCTGATAGGAAAGGGTAATGTGTTTAAAAAGCCAACACCTGCCTTAATTGTGCAGACTGATATTTTATACTGTTTAAATATGTCCTCAGTAAAAAAACTCTTGAAAAGTTAACCCAAAGAGTAAATAAAGTAAAGCACTGAAATTCAGTAAAGTGCCATAGTCATATTCAAATGCAACAAAGCTGCCTTATGCCATCTTTGGTCGACATTCTCTATTTGTAAGTCATTCTCCTTCTCCCATCTTCAGGGCTTCAAGTCCCAAGCCATGGCAGTCACCTGTGACCCGGAGCACAAGTTTGAGCTGTCCATCCAGCTGTGCGACTTGCGGTCAGCGTATGATCTGGCCAAAGAAAGCCAGTCTGAACAAAAGTGGAAGCAGCTGGCTGAGCTGGCCGTACGCCGCTGTGAGTTTGGCCTAGCCCAGGAGTGTCTACACCAGGCCCAGGACTATGGTGGTCTCTTGCTGCTGGCAAGTTCTGCGGGCAACAAAGACATGGTGGGCCGTCTTGGCGAGGCAGCTGGAAAGTCAGGACAGAACAATGTGGCTTTCCTGTCTAATTTTGTCCTCGGAAGGTAATGTTTTCAGAAACTTTTACAGAACCTGTTTTCTGAAATTTCTGAGTAACAAGTAGAGGAGCTTTGTGGATGTTTTTTCGACACAAGAAATTATGGCAGATTGAAGAACAAAATTTGATCAGGAAATCAAAACTGGCTGACAGTGGCACTTAGGATAGGATATTCTCAATAAATATATTGTTGGCTGGATTAAAACATTTTCAAAGACCAATAGCAGACTTTTAAAAAGGGTGAAAAACTGGAAGCAAGTTTGAATTTCTTTAACACATTACACCCTAACTCGCCCGGGATCGCCCGGGAATTCCCTTACGCGCTCCACCCTGACTCGCCCGGAACCGCCCGCGCCGACCCAGCGTCTTTAGAAACGAAAGTCTCGCCTTGACGAGACTCTGGGGCCGGGATTTTGATTTGCATAGTATAGCAAAAAGTTTCTTCTTTCGTTTGATACCGAAACGAAATTTTTCGGGCCAGTAGTGTTAGTATTAGAGCTGATCGAAGTGCGATCGCGTTACCGACACTTCGAAGGTGCCTCGACTTGTTGAAAAGCGACACAATTGAGTTCGAAAACAGAAATAACGATGGATTTGAGCAAAAACGAGCATGTGACAAATCAGATGGCTCAGATTTTGATGAAAACGTTGTAGGAAGAGTTTGGGGCGATTCCGATTGATCAGACGGAGAAATTATAGAATTTAGATCTAGGTCTAGGGCCCGACCGCGAGGCTGAGAGTGAGAGTGACGGGTCGGACACCCCAATTGAACTAAAGTTAGAACATTTCCAACAGTTTGCGCATACATAAAGTTATATTTTTCTGAAACTACATTCAGTTTTCTTTTTAACTTTTATTTTTTCAGGATTTTTGGAATTTGTTTAGTATTTTTAAAATGTGTTTTTTAAAGGCTAGTATTCATGGGAGGTGGGTTCTTTCCCCTTACTTAGGATCTAACAATGGACTTCCCGTCCAGGCCCTTAGGGTGTAATGTGTTAAGAACTTCTTTATGAATTGTAATCTAGAGGATATGGTATGGGAGAATATGAAAGATTTGCCTTACAATGCTTTTGTGATTTTTACTTTGAAGCTCAGGAAGTGATTTTTGCACTTACTTGTACAGCTAACAACGGCTTTTGACTTTAAGGTTGAATTCAAATACATAATCCATTTGAATAAGGTTTGCTAAAGGCAAAAATGTTGATACATTTTAGGTGTGAGGAATGTTTGGAGATTCTCATCAACACTGGCAGACTTCCAGAGGCAGCATTTTTTGCTAGAACCTACCTGCCATCGCAGATCTCAAGGTGAGTGACTCATCAAAATTGTCTTTTTTACATTTTAGCTTCAGTGATTTTCCCAGACAGTAGGTCTTGATTTTTAAAAATAACAACATATCCTTCATGACTTGTTATACACAGCCTGCGATACACCCAGACAAATTGGACAGTTTTTTGTTTTTTTTGATAAATCGAAATTAGTCTTCTTTTTTTTTCTTTCTTCTTTTCTATTTGCTCACAATTGAAACTAAGACCATACGTTCTGTTCTCATGTAAAAGAGCTGTATGTTCAATGGAAAGAGGAAAATGTTTATTTTCTCTTTCTTCAATGATGGTCTGTCAGTCATTCTCCATGTTTGAAAAGTGACGAGAATCTGAATAGAGGCTGTGCATTTGTATATGACCTTGTATATGGTTGCAAGTGCCGTAAAACTTTTACCCAACAAACACTAAAGGTGTTTTTAGAAAGATGTAAAATAATGTAGAGATTGCATGTCAGTACATGTAGTTCTCACTTGGATGCTGTGTTTTGTTTTTTCCCCCTCCATTAGAGTGGTTTCACTGTGGAAGGAGAATGTGGCAGCTGTTAGCCAAAAGTCTGCTGATTCCTTGGCCGACCCAACAGATTATGAGAACTTGTTTCCTGGCCTGAGGGATGGCTTCAAGACAGAGCAGTTCCTCAAACCTCAAAGGGAGAAGGTCTTGCCTGCTGCAGCGTACTCCAAGATTACTGTGAGTTGCTTTCTCCTTTTCATATTTCTTGATATTCTTTTGATGATTCTCCAATTTATGAGAGGGATGGGTTGTTCATTGAGGGATGAATGAGAAGAAGAAGAAGAGGATTTTGATCCGAGTGGTAGTGGTGTCTTGCGAATGGACGAAATTGTCCATAGTAAGGGAAGTGTCTGCCTTATGGAAAACAACCCGTGGCAGTCGTTGAGTTAAAAAATTACTGGACCTCTGCAATTATTGATAATATTGAATTGGGCGCAATGTACAAAGCTATGCTGCAATGTATTTTTTTTTTGCATGATTAAATAGTTTAGGTAGAAGTCATGTTAGACTGAACCTCCCACAGGTTATAAATAAGGTGGTCTTTTGAAAGAATTTTCTCCACATCGATCATGAAAGGCTGCCTTCATTTGTTTGGGTTTTTTTTATCGGTACTTTTATCTTACAAAAAGATCCTGTATCCCCTATCTCATGTGCTATACAGAGTAATGCAGAGCGCAACCCAGTTGAAGAAATGAAGCAAGCTGAGGAGAGTGGCAGCTTTGTCTATGCAGCTCCAATTGGGGATGACGAAGATGGGGAAGAGGAAGAGGACTTTGAGGATGTGGCTGAGAAGGTAAAGTGAAAGGCTCACGTTGAGTGTTTTCAGCTGTTCAATTTTTTTCTTTATAAAACTGTCCATGCTGAGCTTATCAAATTACAAGTCACTTCACATACAGAAGATTTGTTGGGTTTCATAATTTAAACAATCATAAAGCAGGTGGTTTATGTTGTTTATAATCATTTTGCCTGTGTTTGTTATCTTCCCTACGAGAATGGTTGATAGGTGTTCTGGTGTGGACTGCTGCTTCTTTCCTATCAAACATCATATCGTCCTTATCTCTCCTCCCTCTTTTTTGTGTTTGTTACTCTCTTGTAACGCATCTAATCTTCGGCACATATATGGCATAATTGTGTTGCAAGCGCTTACCAAAACCAATTAACAATCTTGCTTTAAGCTCCTGAACTGTGAGCGCTTACTATGTGAGAATGGGCTCTCAGTGCTGAACCCTCTCCTTGGTTTTTATGGGGACCAGAGTGCAAATTTGTTCTTGATTATAGAACCAGCATACAACTCATATGAACAGGGTTGGCTGTTTTTAAAAAAAATTAATGCATATTTCTAATGTGGTTTACAAGTTTTGGTGATGGTACCTGTAACTTAAAGTCATAACAATTCAGGGCTTTTCAGGAACAGGAAAACAACAAAGTGGGTGGTTGGCGGGTACTCTGGTGTGGTTTGCTCTTTCTTTCCTATCAAACATCTATCGTCCTTATCTCTCCGCCTCCTTTTTTTGTGTATGTTACTCTCTTGTAACACATCTATTCTTTCGGCACTTATATGACCTTATTGTGTTGCAAGTGCCGAAAAACTCCTACGAATACAAATACAACAAAGAATTTTTTAATGCAGCAAAAAATACTCAGGACATAGCAATGTAAAGTTGGGTTTATTCTAAAGATGTTGAACCGGTTTAAAACTCTGCTCCATATCTAGGTTGGTTCCTTCATTGCAAATGTTTGAAATTGTCAGAAAGTTTCAAGGCAAGAGTGCATGGTTTGATTACACCAGTGTAGGCTGGTGAGCTGAGGAAATTTTGTATTTTGCTAATAAAATTGGACATGTCATTCTTTTTGTGTCAGTACTATTGTAGTTGAGGCCATGCTGTGTTTGAAAAAATTTAGAATACACAGCATTTTGTTGGAATTCAAAAGTATTTTCCTGCTTCATGTAATAAAGAAAGAAAAGTTACATTCCTGACTTTTGTTTCTGTCTCTTTCCCTTTGTCAAGCCTGTTGTTAAGTCAGAAGAACCAGTTCAGTCGCCGGCTGCCCCCGCCCCTACCCCTGCTGCTCTGGCTCCTACCCCTGCTGCTCCAGCTCCTACCCCTGCTGCGCCAGTCAAACCTGCTGAGCCAGCACCAACACCAGCACAAGAGACTCCAGCAGCTGCCAAGCAGTCTGTGGAAGACTTGGAGAAGGAGCTTGAACTGGATCTTGAAAATGTCAATATTGAGGACCTTGAGGGTGCTGTAAGTGAAAGCTTTAATTTTTTTCTATAGATGTCTGTCCTTCTAGATAAATTTCTTTCCACTTTACTGATGTTTACGAAAATTAGAGATGTAAATATTAAAAGGAAGAAAAAAATTGGTAAGAGTTTCGAACACCGATATAACTATGGGGACAAGTCAGCTTGTGATGTGAAAAAGTGCTACGTCCATGAATAAATTTGTAAATATCGAACTTACAGAATAAGTTCAGCCTCCTCAAAATGACAAGTGTCATTCTGAAATACTTTACTACTGATGTGCAGCAATGCGCTACCAGAATACAATCATTAGGCTCCATCAATTTGAGTGTCAGTGCACAAAAATCTCAAAGGGCTCTGGAATATTGTTTGAAAGAATCACTGTGTTGACCTTACAGGCCCATACTGGAAGTTTTTTTTGTTGGTTGACTTACAAGTAAGCAAATTTTCTTTGAAGTAGTGTACTGGTACTTGGGGGGGAGGGTGTCTTTGTCCGCTTCAGTTTGAATACAAAGAGACTGTTGTCATGATTGTAATGACTTCTTTTTGTGCATGTATTTTAATGTTGGATCAAATCAAGGGGCTCAAAATCAGGGTTTCACCCAACCTTTTCTTTCCCTTTTCTTTTAGATCTATGTAAGGGCTGAACTAAGCATGAAAAGCTGGTACACTGACGTCAATGAAAAACAAATTAATTTGAGTACTAATTAAGGATGTTTTTTTTACTATTGATTAACAAATAAGTTGAGAGGAGTCTTGGAGCATAAGTTTTCCACCTTTTTGTGCCTTTTGTAGATGCTGTTCTTGATTAACTTGCTGTCGGCCAGTTTAAATGTATTAAGCTCAGCAAGCAAAATTACTTATGAGAGAGAAAAAAGTTATTTCATTTAACAATTGTACCTTTGTTATGCTTTTTTTTTTTTACTTTCTTCTACATTTAGAATTTCAATTTTAATAAGTTCTTTTTTTAGTACATGGCAACCGATACCACAGAGTAAGAACAATTTCAAAATTTTGGGCCCAGCACATCTGAAAAGCTGGCCAATGTCATTTACTGCTAGCTCTTTTCTGAAAACCATATCTGAGTTGATGGTAGGCGATTTCCATTGTAGATACGATTTCAAAATGCTACCTCTGTGATTAATTATTCTTTTGACTTTGTTCACCAGGACATGAACCTTGATGAAGATGACTTATTACAAGACTAGTATTCACCTGGGGCCACAGTGATTTATCTCTCACTGCATTGATCTTTGTCTCCTGCCATTCATCAATTACTGATTTTACAACTTGGTATCCTATCCTACATATGTATTAAATGGCTGACTTGTTTGAATGTAGCGATTGTGAGTTACTTCTTAGTTTTGTTTGTCATGGCAATGATTTGTTTCTATTTGTGATCACCACTGACCAATTCAGTTGAATGGGCAAGCAAGTCGTTGATGCGAAAGTGTCTTATATGTTGGTACGAATGCAATTTATAATCTGTTCATTTTCTTTGAATTCTATGTTAGGAGGTTGTTTTTTTTTAAGATGGTAGAATATTATCTTACCAACAGAGCAATACACTTCTGCGGCCTTGATGTTCCTATTGTATGGTGAGAACAGGGTAAAGTGTACGATTCCATAAAATTCTATGATGTTCTTGTCTATTGTCGGACAATGCATTATTTTATCATCTAAGATAATTTTTTAAGTTATTTGGCTCAAACAAGTGACATAATATTATTTATGTGAGGAAGAGAGAAATGCACTCTTTTAATTTATAAGAAAAGTCTTGCAAAATAAAAAGGTGCCGTTATTGAACAGAGGGTGAGTGGGATAAAATAAGTGTGAATGTGCTTTTTGTTGTTGCATTAAAAAAATGACAATTGTGATATATTGCTCTGGTGGTGTATTTGTTGTTAAAGTTTTTTTAGTAGGGCCTGCTGGTTCATTCTGCATGTTGGGGTCAACTGAAAAGTCCCATGCTCATGATGTAGTCTGTGACATTTCTTGGAGTGTGACACATTCATGCTTGTGTCTGGATGACTTTTTTTTTTTTTTTTTTTTGGTTGTACGTCATTGTCTGAAGTTGGTGAAAGTCTTCGTTTGAGTTTGAGTGTGTCCATGATTTCATCAAATTGATATAATCTGGACCTACTGTAAATATTAATGTACAGTTCATGATCTTAGTGATGTTCCCATCTTACCGTGTATTGGATTCATTCCAAGGGTTCGTTATTATTCTCAAACTATTCTCAAAAGTTAATAATATAATACATGTATGTTTGCGAAGAGATTTGGGAAAATGTGGGCAACTCTTTGTAAATGGATTCAAGCACTGTGAAAAATGTTCAGGATATTGTGGACCTCAGTCACTGCCATGTTGGTATCATTGGTTGGTATCCATTTAAGTTCAGGTGCTTCTGATTTTTTTTTCCTTTTTTTCGTCTGTAGACTCCCATACATAGGCCTACATGTAGAAGAAAAAGAACAAGTAAACATGTTACAGCAGTGAATAATGTCTGGACTTTTCAAAATATTATGTTTAATATCACTTACAAAGGTTTATTTTTAAATGAGATTTATTTTGTCACAAAAAGATCAGAAGTGCTTGTATTATATTGTCTACTGCTAAGGTGCAGCCGAATTGCCTAACAATATTGTTCATGGTGGACTCAGTATGCCAGGAGCTGGTTCTTACAACTCAGCATAGTGGAATACTGATAAAGGTACTTTACTTTCAATAAATATGAGGAAAGTATCCCTGGTTTATCTGTTTTTTTTTCTTTTACATGCTTGTTTGTTGTTGTTTCTTTGTTTGCCTGGAGCCGAGGGGAAGCTAAAAAAGTGGTTGATTTGACAAGTGCTGGTGACAGTTCTCTTTCTCTGTTTCTCTCTATTAACAAAGGTGTCTGTAGTGTGGTGGATAGACACTTTGCTTTTGCATGTAGGAGACCTGAGTTCAATTCTGTAGTGAGGAGAATTTTTATCGCGTACCTGTATTTGTCTTACTGCCGTGGTATTGTATCTCCCTCAGTAAAAACATAGACTACATTTTTTAAATATTTTCATTCTGTCTCAAGTAAAACTCAGTGATGGGCATTACCAGCTGGATAATAATATATGTAATTGTCATGATAGGGAGACATGATATTTGACCTAGCTTTGAGCTCTACCTTGACTTCCCATCTTCCTGCTATTGTATAAATCTTTACAGTTTACAGTTCTGTACGAGTCGTTTGTTGATTGATGGGTGCTGTGGTGTTGTTTGCTTCTTCTTTCCCTATCAAATGTCTACCATCCTTATCTCTCCTGTGGGTGGTTGGCGGGTGCTCTGGTGTGGTTTGCTCCTTCTTTCCTATCAAACATCTATCGTCCTTATCTCCCCCTTCTTTTTTATGTTTGTTACTCTCTTGTAACGCCTCTAAACTTCTGGCGCTCATATGACCGTATGCAGTTGCGAGCGCCGTAAAACCTCTACTAAAACTAAACTTATCTCTCCCCCTTCTTTTTCTTGTAATTTGTATGTAACTCTTCAGTATCACCTCGTGGGTGGTTGGTGGGTGCTCTGGTGTGGCTTGCTTCTTCTTTCCTATCAAACATATATCGTCCTTATCTCCCCTTCTTCTTTTTTATGTTTGTTACTCTCTTGTAACACCTCTAATCTTCTGGCGCTCATATGACCTTATTCAGTTGCGAGCTCCGTAAAACCTCTACTAAAACTTAACTACAGTAATACCTCAAACTTGGGCACTTGTACTTGTAAGAAATTGTGTTGCAGTTAAAGTGCCATAAAACTAGTACTAAAACTAAAGCCTGTTCTGTATGAATCACATTTTAAAAAATGGGCCAAGATTTGCTGATGGATAGGCATTTTGAAAATCAAAGGGTTTTTGTTTTTTTTTAGTTAATACCCCGTATTTATTCTTTACCTTTAATTTCTAAAGACATGTTGCTTCTAAACGTTTCCTTTTTTTATAAAGTATAAAGCTGCCTATTGCCTAGGCGGGACAAAGAAGAAACCTTGTAATTTGTAACTTAGTCTTCACATACTTGAGTAACACTGCTAGGGCCTGGGCTAGAAATCAAGATATTTGGTGCCACAGATACGCCCTCAACATGTCTATTCAACACATGCAACTCCTCCCTCCCCCAATAGAATATTGACAATCTCATAATTTTTGCACCTTGGTTTACCTCCCAGGTACTACACCTTTATCGTTCGAGCCCCAAAAAAATGAGTTTGTAAACAGCCTTGGTACACCTATAACAATGTACTGTACTTCTGAAGGTTTTGTGACCTGAAGTTGTGTAGTGTAAACAGCTTTGGTACAGAAATGATAAATGCATGGGACATGCACTTCCAAAGGGAAATGACCAACGTCTCCCCTCAAGCGCCTTGTGTGAGTGAGGTGAATAAATTGAACGCCGATGGCTAGAGGGCATGGCACGACTGGTAAGTCCTACTTCAGGCTCTCGGACTCGCAACCGTAAGGTCATGGGTTCGAATCCCGTCAAGGGTCCGACGTTGTGTCCTTGGGAAAGGCACTTTACACGAATTTTCCTCACTTCACCCAGGTGGGAATGGGTACCCGGCTACAGACAGCGAAAGATCTTGTCAGTTTGTTAGTGTTTGAGCGCTTAATCGGCTGCTCGCACTGTATGCTTCCCGGGAAGCTGAGAATGTTTCGGAGTGTTCTATGGTCTGCTGGGGTAATAATATAGTGTAAAGCGCATAGAGCCTGCTGCTGAGCGGGGATATGCGCTATACAAATGCTATATATTATTATTATTATTACTTCTTAACTTTCTCTCTCTAATGTTTATGTCTGTCTGTCTTACTTTTTCCCAACACCAAATGACCGTGTTGCCGGGCGGTCTGGTGTTGTCTTCTTCTTCTTTCCTTTCAAACATATATCATCCTTATAATCTCTCCTCCTTCTTTTTTAATGTTTGTTACTCTCTTGTAACACCTCTAATCTTCGGCACTTACATGACCTAATCGTGTTGCAAGTGCAAACCAAATGACCATTATTTGTCAATGTGCTTCTCTGTATTCAAAGAAACAGACAAACAAACTGAACCACCTCAACTCCCCAACCGGGTCTGAACCATCACCGTTTACACTTAAAATGCTGAAGCTGAAGAATACTTGCTCATCTGTCATCATTTTCATAATTTCAAAACACTTCAACGGCGTCTATGGTGTAATAGTTATGCATTTTGCTATCTCACGCAAGAGACCCGAGTTCGATTACTGAATGGGGAGACTTTTTATTGAGTAGGCCTATATTCGTCTTTTTGTTGAGATCAGCCTCGGTTGGCCCTGATATGGGGGGGGGGGGGGGGTTCAATAAGCCTTTGGTCTGGGTATGAACGAATCATGCTAGAGTAATGAAATTTCAATGAAACCATGCTCAAAAACGTTTGTTTTTCATTGCTGAAGCTGTGCCATGGAGCCAGTTGGATATCTCTCAGTTATCAAGTTTTTACTCTTGCAAGGAAAATCCCATGCGGACATTTTTCAGGAAATGGTTCAGGTTTATGGTTATAAATGTCCTCGTTATAATACTGTGACATATTGGGTAAGAAAATTCAAATCTAGATTCATGTTGGTGATGGATGAAGATCGTGAAGGGCGCCTATCCTTTGTGGTAACTGAAGAGAATATATCCATAGTGAAAAAACTGGTTCTACAAGACTGACGTATACACTATAACTGTTAATAATAGTGTTAAACAGCTCACAATTGAAACAATAATCAGTGTAGGGTTAATTGAAAAGATTCTCCATGACCTTCTTAACATCAACATGCATAAGTTGTTTGTGCGGTTGGTACCCTGACTTTTGACAAAAGTGAGCAAAAGAAGCAGAGGGCCGAGTCCTGCGAAACTCTCCTTCAAATTGAGTTCAATGACACAAATTTCTTAAAAAACATGGTGACTATGGGATGAAACAGGGATTTATCATTCTGATCCAGAACAAAAAATGTCCTCCATGCAAAGGAAAACCCCTTCTTCTCCCTCACCAAAGAAGGCAAAGGTAACACCGTCAAGTGAAAGGTCATACCGTCCTGTTTCTGGAATTGTGAAGGTATCAGTATTATCATGACTGACTACCTGGAAAATGGAAAAACATTCACAGGAAACTACTACTGGGGTTTGCTGATACAATTGGTCGATTGGTCGCTTTTAAGGACAAGCGGGCTAACCCATATTTTCGGGGTTTTCCAGAAATCTTGACCAACACCAAAAGTGGGCATTTCCCTACCTATAGGAGAACTGTGGTTTCACTGGTGAGTATATTTTGGTTATACAGAAAACTCTCCTTGTATTTTCAGAATCCAAAAACTTTAACTTTTATTTTCTTAAAACAACATTTCTCGGGAAAGCCCGTTGTGCTTAAAAGCGACCAATTGCAATCCGAATTGGTGAGAAAAAAGCGTGGAAAACTTCGTAATGGGATCCTCCTACTGCATGACAACACCCCTGCGTACAAGGCACAACAAGCAGTCCAGACAGCAGAGTAGTGCGGCTTTGAAATCCTGCCACACCCAGCTTATTCACCAGACCTAGCCCCCTCAGACTTTTTTTCTGTTTCCAAATCTTAAAAAATCACTCTAAGGACGTCGTTTCCATGACAACGAGGGCGCAATTTAAGCTGTGGAAGACTGGTTAGGGACCCATTCTGGGTCATTGTTTTCTCAAGGACTTTTGAAGGTCAAATAGAGGTGGCAAAAATGTGTTACTCTTCATGGTGGTTATGAGGAGAAATAAAAGTATACTCTTCAAAAAAAGAAGCCTGACACCCACTTTTAAAACTGAATTTTAAAAATAAAACGAACCTAATAAATAGAACAAAATAAGGCAAAGTTCTGGTAGATAACTATACACACGTGCAAAACTTTAATCCCGGTAAACAAACCGAATGTCCTGCACAAGCTTGTAAACAGAATGGCGTACATGAAAAGTCAGTACCTGGTATTGCGTTGATCACTGCTCGGCATCCGAATTGTGACTACCGTGACAGGAACTACGACTAACAGATGCAATTAAGTTTGCAATATCATGTGGCGGGATAGTTTGCCGCTCATGCTGGAGTGTCACAAGGAGCTCTGGAAGTGTCTGAGGTGGCGGATTCATCTGCCACACACGTCGATCCGACTCGTCCCAGAAGTTTGATTGGAGACAAATCCGGCCATGGTAGAGTCGGAAGGTTTTTGGCATGCAGGAAGTCTTCACATACCCGTGCAACATGCGGACGAGCGTTGTCCTGCTGCAAAATGCCAGCATTCGCGTTCAGGTATGCAACAATATGAGGCTGCAGGATCTCATCTCTGTACCTGTCACATGTCACTCTGTGCCGGCACCACTGGAGACGTTCTGCCACGTGGTGAGCGGTCAACACGTTACGTCGATAATCAAGCAAAGAGTCCTGCCTCCCTGAGACGACTGCGGAATGTCTTGTCAGAAATTCTCCCATGTCCAGGGATTTGAGCAACAGTAGACATTGCTATTGTGGTTTGATTTCGAAGGTGGCGCACACGGATATCGATCCTGGGCCGCAGTAGTGACCCTGTGTCGACCTGACCTAAGCCTGTCATTACCACTTTGGGTGTTGTTGTATCGTGTCCATAACGCAGCAATGATCTGTCTAGACACGCCAGAATACCTTGCCACGGCTTGCTGAGTCATCCCTATTTCCAATCGTCCGATTGCATTATTGCGTTCAGCATCAGTCAGCCTTGGCATTTTTCAGTTG